ATGTGTATATGTGTACGTAAGTGTATCTCTTTTCTTTTCTTTTCTTTCTTCTATTGTCCATATGACGATCATATTTTTTCATCCAGGTCTTTCCTTCCTGCCGTCCATGAGAATTATATTGAAATTCTCATCTTCTTTCTTTTTCTTATTTCACTCTACATATTCGTTTACTTCTTGTACAGTTAGAAAGAAGATGTTGTAATACATCTTCTTTGTTTTTGTCCACTTTGATGAGAAGTAAGAGGGAAGCACTTATATCACTCTCTTTCTTCTCCTTATTTTTTTTGTTCATCTCTTTTTCTTTCTTGTATATTTTCTTGAATATCTTTTGTGTGTTTGCGTGTCTGCATAGGGAGGATGTAAATAACCAGTTCTTTTTAAATAAAATTAGTTAGTGAATAAGGAAAATGTTCTTTTCCTTATTCGACCAATTCAGTGACAAAAAACAGTCTTGTAACAACAATGAAGAAAATTTATTTGTTAGTTATTTTATGCATTGGCTCCTTTAGGACCCAGTGCAGCCAAACTTTGCACGACATTACATTTCGACAAGGGAAGATGAAAACGGGTCAGTGCGACCAAAGGGGTGGACGGGAAGAGTTTCGACTCCAAGTTTTGGAGCGTGGGGGTCGGAGTCGATCTTCTATTAACCAACATCCACCCTCCATATTTTCGACGTTATTGAGGATAACCTTATTAAAGACTATTCGAGATATTAATAAGCATACCAAAAGGATTATTACAATTATATCGCAATAAGTAGTATTGAGAGAGTCTTGTTTTTTTATTTATTAAATTTTGAGATAATGAAAAAACGATGAAGTATAAAAATAGAAAAAGAAACTATGAAAATCATAGGTTTATAAAGTCTTTCGTTGAAATTTTGTTCGTAATAGTAAAATAAGAATACTCAGTAGTTGACCAACACCAAAGAGAAGAACAAGTAAACCAATATTACGATTATAATTACTCTAAAATATATACATAAAAATAGATCTCAAAAACAAATATATTTTTATACAGACTTTCTTAAAATTATAATACGCAAGAACATCATCACCATTTCTTAAACATGTTGTATTACCCATTGGATTACAGTCAAATGATTTAACATCTGCCCATTGATTAATCGATAACAGTTCATCTGTATAATAAGGCCATGAAATATAATGTAACCAAATAAGCCATTTAGGTATTGAGCTAAATTTAAAAAAAAGCGATAAAATTATTCAAGATTTTACTTTATATTATGTTAATATACTTTGTCTTTATATAAAAACCAGATGCAACAAGCAGAGGGATAAGAATTGGAACAACTAGTGCTGAAGCAACAGTAGGCGTTGGACTAGAGACTCCTATCAATGTTCCTACAAGAAAAAATAAATGTTTTCAATATAATTTTGTTTTTCTTTTATTTACCAACAGACATTGAAACTAACATACATAGAAGAAGAATACCTTGTAGAATAAAAAATCTTCGAGCACTATTATATAAATTAGCCATCCAATAAATAATAGTTATTGATAAAAATATATCAATTGCAGTTATTGGTAATTCGACTATTACTTTTGATATATAATAAGGTATTGTACGATAAATTCCATCATCATGTTCTTTAAAAAATAATGGTGATTGTCGACTCATACTCTAAAATTTTAATGTACAAAAAATATTATAAAAGAAATTTTTTTTTTTATTTTAACTTACATCAGCATTTCTTTGAACAACCATGAATGTTACGTCAAGAATCATTAGAAATAAAACTGATGACATATTTTGAGAAGCGGTTTGATCATATTTTAAATTTAAAAATGAAAAACCCAGAATAAGACCAAGAATTATTGATACAAGTATACGTAAACGAAATTCAAATGGATTACGAAACATATCAATCAATAAACGCCATAATAACCAACGAAATTGATTGAAAATATTAGTTTTATATCTAAATAAAAATTACTCAGTTTGTTTTTCTTTTAATCAAAACAACAAACTTTGATGAATGATCAAATATTCTATTTGGTTGATCATCATCAATTGAATGATATTTTTGAATTTCATCAATATATTGAATATTAAAAGATGAACGTTCATATGTATCACAAATATTCTAAAAAAGAAAACGAAAAAAAAAGAAAATTTTTCATATACTATCAATATTACTTGAATTCGTTCAAGTGATTTTTCTTTGTCAAATGGTAATATCGATAATGTTTGAATATAAAAATCTGATAAATTATAATTATTTGGTGCTTCGAAACCTAATCTAAAAATAAATATTGAAATTTTATTATTTTTTTATGTGAGTATATTATGCATTATTGACTAACGTATTAAAAAATTCTTGAGCTTTTTTTCTTGAACCAAAATAAGCAACACGTCCTTCGGCTAATAGATAAAGTCTATATATATATATTAAACATAAATAAATTAATAATAATGAAATATTCTTACGTATCAAATAATTGAAAAATTTCACTTGATGGTTGATGAATTGTACAAACAATTGTTTTACCTTGATTACACAATTTACGCATTGCATCACATATTGTAAATGCCATGCTTCCATCGAGACCTGATGTTGGCTATGATAAAATATTATTTTATAGTAATAAATATATATATAAATTACTTCATCAGCAAATAATAAAGGTGGATCAATCATTACCTATATTCATATTAATAAATTAAAATAATAATATATTATTAAATATACTTCAGAAGCAAAGAGTAAACGTCGTTTTTCACCACCTGATAAACCTTTAATAAGTCCTGGTTGACCTATGACCGTATTTTCTACTTTATTCAAATTGAACTAATAAATATAAAGTTACCATTTAAATTCGTCTAATTTATATATATATATATATTATCTTACCAAATCAAGCATTTCATCAATACGAGCAATTCGTTGGTCTTTTGATATATCATGATTTAATCTTAACATTGCCTAAAATAATATTATTAGATTTCAAATTATATAAATATTATTACATGAAAATGTAAATGTTCTCGTGTTGTCATTGATGGTATGAATAATTCTTCTTGTTGTACATAACCTGATACTCGATTAATATTTCTACCCATATTTGTTCCATTTACTCTAACTTCACCCTCAATTTTTAATGTACCAGGTCGACGATTTGTTAAAATATTTAATAATGTTGTTTTACCAGCACCACTAGCACCCATTATAGCAACTAATTGACCTGGTTTAGCAATGCCACTAACTAAATTAAGTTTTATATAAAAAAAACAACTGATCTTTTCTTATTTTTACCTCCTTCGAGCAACATTGTTGATTGACTAACTGCTTTCCATGGACACAATGCTTTTGTAATTGTTCGTTTAATACCTTTATCTTCTGGTGGTGCCTTTGCTTTTAAATCAAGCCATGTAAGAGTAACCGGTGGTGAAGTAAAATTTATTTTACTTATTCCTAAATCATCATCATCGTCATAAACAACTGTTCCTTGAGTTTGTGATTGTACTTTAGATTTTCGTCTTTTTCCATAGAGAACATCATGTTGAACAGGTAGATTTGCTTGTTGTCTTAAATATCGATACCAATCAAGATCATGTTGTTTATTTGGATAATTATGTGTACGCCAAGCAGAATTCTATGAAAAGAAAATTGTAATTAATAAAAAAAAATTATTTTATTTTTTTTTTCGAGTATACATTTTGTCGAATATAATCACCGAGTGTATTAATTGGATAATTTCGAAAATTATTTTTAGGTTCATTCATTTGAAAAATCTATTAACAAAGAAAATATTATAAATTATTGTAAGACGTAAATTATTTTCTAATAGCTTACTTTTTTATACTGTTCAATAGTGTTAGTATGTTAATATACTGACAGATAAATAAAAAATACAGTAAGAGAAAAGATACAGTTATATATGATTTACTGACTAAACTGAAAGAAAATGAAGAGTCAATCATGTAGAACGATGAAATAATGTATGTAATACTTATGACAAATTTATGAGATGCCTAATTTGAGTTTGAACATAAATGGATATCGAATACTTAATATATATTCGGAAAAAAAAAATATATATATATATAAAGCAGTATGAATAGGTATTGATAATTTTCGTTTGCATTCGAACTCGAATTAGGCAAGTACTCACAGAAACGGAATTCGACTACAAAATAACAACAAGAAAAAAGAATTTCTTCACAACTTCGTTTTCTTTGAGGAAACTAATAAAAATATATAAATGAGTGAAACATATTAAGATAAATCAAATAATATAATTTTTTATTGTTATGATGCCCAATCGATTACATAAGCAAAAATCCTCATTTTTGATATAAATAACAAAATCAAGTAAGCACATGTATAAAAAGTTAGAATTATAAACATATGAAAATGTGGTCAGATTACATTTTTTCTCTTATTTCATTGATTAATTCATTAGTTTCTCGTTCATTTTATATCAATTCATAAACAAACGTTTTTTATATCGTAGCAAAGTTTGTGATGATTTCTAATAGAGGAAGTATTTGTGCTGATAATATTGCACTTTATTATGTTTCTTCTTATCGAGAATTGCATCAACTTCATACAAAGTATATACTTATTTACTCACTCATTAGAGAGAGTAAAAAAATAATAAGAACGAAATAAGACGGGAGCAAAAGAGTATGAAAGGAAAGTACAGTAAGAACAAAATAAGACGGAGCAAAGTATCACATGATGTATAAAATATGGACAAAATGACAAGGACAATAGGAACGAAAATAAGAAGAGAGCAAAGTATCACATGATGTATAAAATATGGACAAAATGACAAGGACAATAGGAACGAAAATAAGAAGAGAGCAAAGTATCAAATGATGTATAAAATATGGACAAAATGACACGGACAATAGGAACGAAAATACGACGAGTGCAAAGTATTACATAATGTATAAAATAAGAACAGTACTTCAAATGAGATGTATCATAAAAAAAGGACAAGCATCGTCACAAAGTGAAACTAGAAAAACAATACGAAAAATACCATTTTTACTCGTAAAATTCGAATATATAATACAATATGAATATTGTTTTAGACATATGATGATCATATAATAATAGGATGAAGTATATACAAAATATAATGTTATTTGTATATTTTTATCATTCTATAGAACTAAAGAAAATTCAACTAAATAATTCATTGTATAACTGAAAACTTTTGAGATTATTAAGTATATTCTTTATTGATGTATTACTTTATCTATATTTGTATATAACTAATAAAGTATATGCGTCTTTTTTTTTGTACATCAACAAATATCATGAATAAATAAATGATTCATCAAGTAATAATCTTAGCATGACGTCAATATCTAACCACGTATTTTATTTTTTCTATAAATAATATTCGGATTAGTGAGTATAAAATGGATATTCTCTAATAGCTGTATAAATACGTAAGCAAGTATTCATATTATTATATTGTTGAGTATTTATATTTCGACAAAAACTTTTGCACAAATTTTAGTAAGTATTATCGTTTGCTTCTATAGATTTGAGAATAGATACAGAAATTTTGTTTTATTTTATATTGTTTCATAGAAAAATTTCAATAAAATTTATATGAGTATTTATTTATGACAAAAGTTAAATGTTAATTTTGATAAATTATAAGTATATTACTCTGTTGTTTTAGATATTCTTATTTTTTCGTTTCGTCTTCTTATCTTATTCAATATGAGATTAACTGCTGATCTCTGTCAGTCTGAACTGTTCAATATACAAACCAATGATTCAGACAATTTACAGCAGGCTGAAAAGTCTTACTTAAGAGCTGAAGCTATTTCCAAAGCTTATGGTAAGATTCAAGTGCTTTAAAATACAGTTTAATAAGTTTATACATTCTTGTAGGATTAACTTTAGAAGATATTCTTAATGTATCTCCTAAGTTTTGGCAAATGCATACTGATCCCATCGTACAGATGGATGGAGGCGCCACAACTTTGCTGACTATTCAGTATAACCTCGTTGTTGGAACAATTGGTATGTTTGTAGGAGAGAGAAAGGATCTTGAACCTCTTCTTCAAGATTTAGTAGAATATAAAACAATGTAAGTTTTCATAGTATAACACACTTGTTTAAAAAATGAATTTATTTTTTTTTAGTGGACAAATTTGTTTAACTGAATTAGGACATGGCCTCAATGCACTCTATCTACAAACAACTGCAACTTTACAAAGTGATGGAACTTTCGACCTTCATACTCCAAATGATCAAGCTGCAAAGTCTGTCATATATTTAATTAACTATTGTTACCATTAATGATATTCATTTTCAGATATATGCCACCAACAATTCCTGTTCTTGGACGTACTTGTATTGCTGTAGTATTTGCTCAATTGATTGTTGAAGGTGAACATAGAGGTCTTCGACCTTTTATTGTTACTCTTAATGACGGACATTGTATGAGTCCAGGTATCAAAGCAAAGTAAACTCAACTCATATAAGATAGCACTATTTTCTAACACATTTCTTCTAGACTTTTACCAAGACGTTCTGGAGCACATCCTGTCAATCATGCCATTACTTCTTTCAATCATGTTCGTCTTCCATCAACTGCCCTTCTAGGCAATCTTAAGAAGCCATCCTCATTACGTATACATTTTCTTCTTTCTATCATTCGTGTTAGTGTTGGCACTCTTGCTCTAAGTTCCAGTGCTTTACCCGGTTTGCAGATTGCATCTCATATTGCTTATCATTACAGTATTCGACGGACAATATATAATCATGATGGCAGTCAAATTAATATTCTCTCTTTTCGAACACAACAAATTCCTGTTTTCACAGCAGTTGCACAATGCTACGTTCTTCAAGCATTTACAAAACATTCCATAAATTATTTTATTGATCAATCACTTGATCCTCGTTCAAGACATGGTGTTGCTACAATATATAAAGCTGTCTGCTTGCAACATTCTCAATCATCGCAACTAGAACTTTCTGAACGTTGTGGAGCTCAGGGCCTTTTCGGTTACAATCAAATCATCACTCAATATGTATATTTGTATATTTAATTCTAAACTTTTTCTTGATGCATTTTTTTTAGTGCAATACACAAGGAATTGCGATCGCCGAGGGAGATATCCTTGTCCTTACAATTCGTATGTTGTTTTATATCATTTATGCTATTTTTTATTTCTTATTTTTTCTCTATACAAAGGTCTTGTTAGCGAACTTTGCATTGGAAGATATTCCCTTCCTCAAACATCCAATCCAGAAAGCCTTCTGGCTAAACATGAAGCTAGTGTATTTGAAGAGTGTCACGCTATTGCTAAACAGTATGGACATCGTAGTAAAGAGTTCTCATCCTATGTTTTGCCTAAATGTCGATCCGTTATTGAGGCTATGGGACATCGTGCGGCGTATGATGCTGCAGTAGCTGATGAAGTACCTCAAACATTGATCGACATCTATATCTGCCATGTTATCAAGCTTGATCTTGCATGGTACATCGAAAAAGGACTCCTTACACGCGCACAATTCACTCATATGGAAGCAGAAGCATTCGAAAAAGCCGTTCCATTGATGCATGATTGGGTAGAACAAATGGATGTTGGATCGTATATCAAGGCACCCATTGTCAGTGATGACAGATGGGCAAAATTCGGTAAAAGTTTATATTGCTACGATGATGTCAAAAATGCTTCACATGTCGTTGATACTAATATCGAAAGCACAAGCAATGTGTCAGTTGAGAATATGACTATTCCAACATCAAGCAATTCTACTGAAGCCTCAGTCAATAACAAAATTTGAAGTTTTCAAGGGCAAAATTATAAATAAAACTTGATAAGCGACAGCGATTTTTATTAGCATTTTATAAACAAAAACTAAACTTTTATCTACTAATATATTTATTTCATTTACTTAATAAATTCTATATTTCAGTAAATTTATGTTACCATCATCAATAAAGATATAAAATTACCTATTAACATCATATAACATATACATAAGAGATAAAAAAAATTAGAATGAAAATTACTAGATGTGGGTGGGTAGGAATGTACTTGCGGGTATTGTTTTTATGATATTCACATTCATGACCAGCAGTTCCAAAATTCTTATTCGGCAGAATTTTGTAATTTATACAAAATTCTGCTTTAGAAATAGGACTCTTAGCGGAATTTTATTTTCTCGTAATTGATAGATTGGTTGATAGAGCATAAGTATATAAAATTCTGGATTCTGCTGGCTCAGAATTTTGCAGGCCGTTTAACAAGGACGTTTGCTTGTTATATGAAAAAGTTGTCCAGTCAAATTGCTTTGAAATCTGTGTCATGTTTGTATATTTTGTAAGGAGAGAAATGATTCATTTTTTTCTAATTTTACTTGTATTAAGAGAAAAAAAAGGTGGGTGTGGGAATTCAGTTTATCTTGTATCCACACACATATACCCACAACCACACTCTCCAGATGGTATTTGAAGTGTTAATGAATACCAAAAGTTTCATTCGAATTTTGACGAATGTATGCGATCATTTCTTCCTAATTATACGAAACAGAAGTGTTAATACTATCTGTGATCGTTTGACCATTAGTTTTTGACATAGCCACGATCGACGATTTGTTCAGCTTCTATTTCTATGATGGATTTTTATAATTTATACGATAATTATTAAAGATTTTCATTCTCATTAATTAACAAGAAGAGAAGAAAGGATAGGTAAAGATAGAAATGTAACCAAGCGCTCCTATGTCTATTCTCAAAAGGGGAAAGACTGAAAAGAAGACAATAATTTATTTGAATATTTATAAATAAATTAAAATATAGAATTGATAGTGTTGATTTTATTTCATTTCTTTTTTATTTGATTATAATAGAAATAATAGCAGGTACATTATTGCTTCTTATAAACATGTATAATATTCAAAAATGACGTATGAAGAGAAAAGCAATCGACCGAGTCAACAAAAAGGAAAGAACAGAAACGAAATAAAATGATATATCTATCGTCTAAATGACTCATAAATATGGAAATTACCAAGTCGGTAACCAATATAAATCAACTGTCATCACTTCCCTTTCGTTTTACTTTATATTTAATCGTGGTCTTCGAAAATATTATAACGAATTTCACAAGGTCAGTATTTTATTTTCAACTTTGGAAATTTCCTACGAATAAATAAAAACATGAATTCATCTCAAAACAAAACCAAATCTTATGGTAAATATATATTTGAAAGAAATAATTTCGATTCTATAATTTTAATAATAATCAATATTTATCATATTGAATTAGTAGATTTTTACTCTTTATATATATTTTTTATTTAAATTAAGGTAATGATGATCTTGATGATTTACTTGGTGAATTTAATATACGAAAAAGTTTAGGTGAACGTCTCTGTTTATTAGAAGATTATAAAATAATAATTGTTTGTGATGATTCTGGATCAATGAATACAACTATTGATGGTAGTCAAGATACTCGATGGGATGAACTTTGTTCGATTGTTAAATTATTAATAGAAATTTGTATGTTATTTGATTCTAATGGTATTGATATTTATTTTCTTAATCGAGGACGTTTTCTTAATGTAAAAACTTCTGAATTTGTTGATAAAATATTTTCGAATCGTCCACGTGGTTATACACCATTAGTACCTATATTAAAGAAGATATTTAAATCATCATCAACTCGTATAAATGCAGATCATAGAAAAACTCTTGTATTTATTGCGACAGATGGTGCACCAACGGATGAAAAAGGACATGTTAATTTGGAAGAACTTGAATGTTTAATGAATATAGAACGTGAAATAGAAACAACTCATGTCATGTTTTTATTATGCACTGATGATCCAATTTATAATGATTGTTTAACTGATTGGGATAATAAAATGATCAATATGGATGTTACAGCCGATTACATAACAGAAAAAGAAAAAATTCATACATATCGTGGTAAAAATTTTCCATTTTCAAAAGGCGATTATGTTGTTAAAGCATTACTTGGTGCTATTGATCCGGATATTAATAATCTTAATCAACCTGATGAAGATATTTTTCTTCATCAATAATATTAGAACTCATTTATAAGTGATGAATAAAATAGTTAATTTATCAGTAAAATATCACTTGTTGTTATACACGTATATTTTATTATAGAGAATTATTTATTAAAACATAAACTAAAAACCGATATTTTAATTCGAATTTAACAGTTAACTCTAAAATAAAAATCTAATTGAGAATGTATCTTCTATATGTATCAACTACTTAATCGAAAGAAATCGTAACTTAATTGTTAACTATCAGAAAACTTCAAAGTCTTTTTAATGAAAAAGATCAATATGAAATAGTATAGGTAGTTCGATACAAATTCATTATTCTATAAACACAAGCTTTTCGCAATTATCAAATATTAAAATAGTCGATACTGCATTATCAAGATGGTTCATATCAAAGAACTCAATGAGCGTGAGTAATGATGATTTAATGTATAGTAATATTCATTTCAAAGAGTCTGATTTTAATATAATCTTAAAGATGTGGATTTAAATCGGGGTGTCTCTCATTTATCTTGAGGGTGGGTGTGGGTGTCTATTGTTTCTACTCACTCCCACGTTTACATCCATACACATACTCTACAAAATAACAACTAACACTCTTTTTTGTGCTTGAAATATCTCATACTTATAACAAGTCGCTTAGCTAAAATAATTTCTTTCACGTATTAACGGATCTGGATAAAGTTTTCTCATCAGTTTAGATGTTGAAACTAGTGGAAGACCAAACGCTTATTTGTCTTATCTCATAAATAAGTTATTTCAAGTTAAGATTAAGTAGAAATGATGCTTTGCGTTTTATATAAATCATATACAAAACAGTCGATTACTTTTTTCTCTGCTTTGTAGAACTGTATGTAAAAAAAAGACGTTAGTTACTCTCAAAACTTATTATAAAAGTCTATTTTTCGTTTCTATCGTTCTTTCTCTCTCCTGTTATATTATTCAACTGAATGTGTGAGTTTATTTTACTTTCATTTACTTTCCTTTGCGAAAGTAAAAAAGAAAATGTAAGTGCCACCCCTACTGTGCACGTATTTAAATCATATATAACGTGAAAAAGAAAATGACCTTCGTTCGTTCGTTCTTATACTCATGTGAATACTTTCAAATATATGCATATATTTACTGTATTGCTTTACGTTAATGATTATATCAATATTGACAAACAATAATCATCATCTCAAAATCTTACAGTAGAGAAATATTGTATAAAACTCCATTGTTATTAGCTATAGTTTGGTAATAGAAGATTTAAAATTACACGTATAATGCAACAACAACCGGTAATAAATGGAAATCCAACTCGAATTACTGGTACCGTTCCTGTGCGATGTATATGTTACAGTTGTCAAAAAGATATTGTAACACGTACAGAAAAGAAAAATGGTCTTGTTACGTGGCTTAGTTGTGGAGGTATATGTGTTCTTGGTGCTCCGTTTGGCTGTTTTCTTGGTTGTTGTTTAATTCCATTCTGTGTCGATGCAACCAAGGTCAGGAAAATTCATTTGAAATATATAATAAACTAATTCGATTTAATTTTTTTGTTCATATATAAATAGGATACTGTACATTATTGTCCAAATTGTTCTATTGTACTTGGTGAAGACAGATTACTGTCATAGAAAAACTCTCAATGTTATTGAATCAAAGTTTTCGTTTCACTACGTTATTTATTATAACTGAACAATAAAGAAACATATTATCGTAAGAGTAAGCATTGACATTGAAGATTTTTGCGTTCATTCCTGATAATGATCTAATGATGACTATTGAAAAAATAATAAAAGCATAATAACTGATAAATATCATCCGTAATGAAAATTCTGCTCCGATGTAACACGAAATTTGACAGAGTTGAAGACGCAGTATTAGTGTAGAAAGAAAAATTGAAGTATATAAATTTACTAATCAAAAAGAAAACGATATAAACTAATAAATAAAGATTCAATAATTCATAAAATAATTAAATCGAATAGAATTATTATATATCAACATCGCAAATACTGCGAGATCATCGTTCGAGATGTAGCTGACATCATTAAACGAAAATAAAATTGTTATATTAAATTCAGACACAATAAAGAGATTATGAAAAAGATATGCAATAGTTTTTTTAATAATTTTCAGTTTTCTTTATGAGTGATATAAATCCTATTTCTCAATTGATGTCGTTCAGTGGCCAAAACTTATACATTTAAGTCATAGAACTATCTTGTGGGTGTGGGTGGGTATGGGTGCTGGTATCACCTTTGTATTGGCACCCACACCAACACTCACCAACATCCACACCCACAAAGAAGAATCAAAAGAAACTAAAGAATACTTTATTCAAGACAAGAACGAATGTGAATATAAGGTTGTAGATGATGTTGATAAAAGAAAATGATAACAGCTTTGACATTTGAAATATGAATCGAAACTATATTTTTTTTGCAAGAGCGCATATACGCGATATTTTACAAAGTCTAATTACATAAAAATAAAAAAGTAAAAAGAAATCAGAAATAATCAATGTTTATAAAATTGTTTTTTTTGTCGTCATCATTTGCATTATTATTTATTATCACTTTGAATTGCTTGATTGGAATTAGAAGACATTGCTTCTTCATAGGCCTGTTTAAATCCTTCTCGACTTCTTTCAATCATATCTTCATTTGCAGTTAATGATATACGAAAATATCCTGGTATTGCTAATACTGCACCAGGTAAACATAAAACATTATATTTTGATAATAAACGACAAAATGCTTGATCATCTTCTAAAGGTGATTTAATAAGTATATAAAATGTACCTTCTGGTTTTACTGGTATTTCATATCCAATTGATGATAATATATCTAATACTGAATTTAATTTCTTTTCTAAATTTTCTATATCAATACTAATTGCTAATTTTTCAATATCTTGTACCAAATATTGTGTAACACAATCAGGTACTTGAAATCCATTTACAATAAGTGTTTGAGGTAAATATTTTTGAAATAATAAACGATAATTTAAAGGTACTTTTTCTGATAATGCAATATATCCTAATCGAATACCTGGATTTAATAATGTTTTAGCATAAGTATAACATAAAAATGTATATGGATAAAATTCAGCTGGAGAATAAAATTTATTATTATTAAATAGAATATTATTATATGCTTCATCGGATACTAACCAAATCGGTTGAGCTTGATGACCATATTTTTGTTGACGTCTTTCATATTCTTCTAATAAAATATTTGATAATAATTCTAATGTTGTTGATGAATAAATTTTTCCTGTTGGATTATGTGGAGTATTGATAATTAATATTTTTGTTCGATCAGTAATTTTATTTTTAATTTCATCAAGATTTAACTCAAATGTATTTAGATTAATATTAACTTCAATGGATATACCTTGACATGAAATAATCATTGCTTCATAACAAAACCATGCTGGAATAGGAAAAATGACTTCATCATTTGGATTTAATAACATAGATATACATGTATAAAGTCCACCGAAATTTCCTTTAACTAAATAAATATCTTCGGATTGAAATGATAATGGTGAAAATCTTTTTGATAGATTTAATGCAACGATTTGACGAGATGGTTCCGTATTAGGATTTGTTGCCATACAATAACCATACCACCCAACATTTAATGGTTCAATATATTTATGAAATGAAGATAAAAATGTAGGTAATGCCATATTATGTGGATTACCAAATGTAAAATCACATAAAGTAGATAATGATGATGATTCTTTATGTGCAGAAAGAATTTTTCCATATTCATTTTGAACGAATGCTCCAATTCGTTGATAATGTGAAGAATTTATTCCTGATAAGATTCGTTGTGATAATATTAATTCATCATTTTGAATGTTAGTAGTGTCCATTGTTTATTCAGTACTTTGAAATGGTAAGTTAATCGTGTTTTTTTCTATCTTATATAGAAGAAAGAAAATAATAAGGTGAAAACAAGAACAACAGAACGATAAAAGCGCATTGGGGTTATGTAACCCTATCTTTTTCGTTTCTTTCCAATTTTTATCATCTATTTTCTCTTTATAAACGAGTTTAATGAGAAAGAGATAACCATACATACGGGTATTTTATGATACAATATTTGTTTATTTTCTATACGCTTATATCTATACAGAAAGCAAATATACGACCAATCAACAAAAAGAAAGTGAGTCAGGTATATGCGACAATCCTTTCCTTTTAACAAAACAGAACGCATGTGACATCTAGAAAGAAAAGAAGAGAATTAAGTGTTATTACAACATGCTTGTAGTACAGAGAATATAAAATGAATAATACGCATTGATCGATAAATGGATATTTTATTAATGAATTCACATATGTTAATGTTGTTTTTGTTTAATGATAAATGTTTGATTAAAATGCAATACATTCTAAGATATCGTATATATATAAGTTCAATAGTTCTTTTGAGAATTCATAATGTATGAAACTCAGATAATTATCACGTTTATGTAGAGTAATGTCTGATGAGTTATCGATTAGATAAAATTCTTCACTTTTTAATCATACATTTGTTCATTTATGCATACGCTATTGGTTTTTCTAATGAGTTTTTACGTTGCAGTAAACGTTTATCCTAATGCTTTTCTTTTTTTCCTCTAATTATTGAAAACGAAACCATACAAGTTCGTTATAGATAATTAATCGGTAAATGAAAGACATGCAAATGCAAAAATAATTCAAAATGTTTAAGGATGATGAAATGGTTAAATCTCATCCATACTAGGGAGAATTTCTATATTATTATCGTGAAGGATGTGGTGTTGATAACATTAGTAAGTTTTAACTGAAAATTCTCTTCATAACTTTAGCTATATACACGTACTCATACATCTTCAAGATTTTGAATTGAAAGTACGTCTTCTTTCACTTGTTTATTAACTACAAACAAAAGTTAGTACATAATTAAGACTCATTTTTTCAATTATTGGTTTGTAATAATGATAATTCTTCCTGTTCTTTATTCCATTGAGCAATACTAGCATGAAGAGCATCCCAATCGATTGTTGTTGGAAAGACGATTGGTTGTACCTGACATGGTGGAAATACACATATAAATGACATTCCACCGGGGCCAGTCAAACCACTCAGATCAATTGGACCACGACGCATACGATCATGATGAGGAAATGCTGTTGATAACCCGACAACAGCTACTATAACGCAAATAATTGCAAAGATGAAACGCATATTGGAAGGTGAAGAGAAATAGAAAAAATGTATTAATGAATATGATTGAAGCGAGAGAACTGAAATCGAAAGATAATATAGATATACACGAATACGTGTGTGACTTCAACCAGATGTCAGAAAGAAAACAATACAAGTTATAAACCTTATTAAAAACGTGATTTAAAATATATATTTTCTGTTTCAATGTGTTTGATTTCTGATTATCAACAACAAAATATTGTTTATCATTTGATAAAAATTAAATCTGATTTTTTTCTCATAAAAGAAACATTTTAATATTCGTACTGAAGGTATACATGTAGCAATGAATGACGCAGGACGTGGGTGTACGATGACTAAATTCAGAAGAAAATCATTCGTATTATCTTCATCTACGTCAGATTATTACTGCTATGACTATATTTGATTCTTTTATTTATAGATGTTTTAACTAAATCTGTAAATTCAAATGGAACAATCATAATGCATTGATAATTAATCAAAAGTGTGATTGAAAAAAAGATTCAGACAAGTATAATTATTCATGAAACAGATTTTAACACTGGATCTGTGCAATCTATTCGTCGCGACAAACGATGTTGACATTTTTCTAACAAAAATGGCAAAACATAATAAAGTATCTATTCATTATGAAATGGAATACTGATAATTTCTTTCCATTTATTTAATGTGAATAATCTTTGACGTCAATTGGCTAGACAGATTTCTGATATTAGAACTATGAAAAGAAGAAAAGCTTTGTTTATTTTCAGGGCATTATAATACTAACGTCTACAACTATAGGTATACATATATTTTTTGCAAGAAAATATTTGAATTATTCTATTTTCATTTCTAATTTAATGATCAAAAAGAATCTGTTTTGATTCTAGTGACGAAAATGCATCAAGATTATTGTTAAGCTGAGGACCAGAATAATGTAATTGTAGAAAATGTCCTCCTGAATAGAATTTCAATTTATATATTTCAAAGATTTTTTTGCATGATTAATTCGCGCATATCCAGATTTATACAATAGATTCTATTAAAAATCTGAGATAGATATATGTATGTAAATATGAAGTACTTTTTTTATGAGACCTATAGTCAACACCTATCATTTGCTAAGAGCAGTGTTCATTATAATCAAAATAATTTCCATTCTCTCTGGTTATCGGATTATTCTTGTCAACTTTTTCTTTGATGAAATCCTTAGAATAAATATGATAGCGTACTTTTGTTTTCTATACAAAAGAAAAACTGTCAAAACTGAATCAGTCAAGTAAAACATATTACATTTTGTTCTGCAAAGATCGATTACCATGTCTGCAATCTATAATTACATCTTATCATTAGCAAATGCTAATGTTAATCTCTACAAAATTGGTGGACCAATTTTAATTAGTGTAGGTACTGTAAGTTGTATAATTAACCTGACAGTTTTTAGTAAAAAAACGTTACGTAAAAATCCATGTTCAATCTACTTAATAGCATGTAATGTTACTAATTTTGTATTAATCTATACATCAATATTAATCGCGACATTGGGAACTGGTTATAGTATCGATCCTAGTGCACACAATTGGATCGTATGTCGTTTGCGTTACTATATAACGTTAGTGTGCGATGTATTAAATCCATCGTATTTAATACTTGCTGCTTTTGATCGAATATTAGTTACTTCACGAAATGCTTTAACAAGACAACACAGTACATCTCGTCTTGCATATATATGCATCTGTATTACAACATTATTTTGGTTGATATTTCATAGTCATGCATTAATTTTCACGACTATCATAGAAACTGCACCGGGTGTTGCTATTTGTTATTTTCAACCAGGGCTCTATTTATCATTGATTAGCTATTATTCACTTATCATCAAAGCACTTCTTATTCCTATATTAATGGTAATTTTAGGTTTGTGGACTGTGAAAAATGTACGAAGTATGAATCATGTTACTGCTGTTGTTAATGCATCGACAAGTGTTGGAGTAACAATTCCTGGCGGTGTACGTACCGCTCATTCAAAAGATCGACAATTGATTAAGATTCTGCTTGTTGATACTTCAATTTATATTTTTTTCAATACAATGATATCAATTATTCTTATATATCAACAAATTATGCAAAATCAATCTCAGAGCTATGTTCAGCTTTATATACAAGGTTTTCTTACGAGTGTGAGCGTCTTTAGTGCTTTCATTCCATTTTGTATTGATTGTTATACTAATTTATGGGTATCAAAAACATTTCGACAAGAAGTGAAAAATACTCTCACGTGCAAATAACTGTACTATTTGCATGAACATGATTAATATCGATCCTTTCAATTGTTATATCTATACTTTAATGTTGTATCGAGAATTTATGAGAATCTTAGTACTCAACTAAACTACACCCTCTTCTATATTAATACTTTCTATTTGATATTTCATTTATTTATCGAATGAACAGTATTTAATCCGTAATTATTTTTATTTACCATATAAATATTTTAAACTTGTTTATTCTGAAAAAAAAACTTTATTGCACTACAAATTGCACATCATGATTTACGTAAAATTTATGCGGAATATGAACGAGACTATCATAGTGAATGCCTCAGGTATTAGACTTACATTCTCACTCTCAACATTTACCGATAATATAAGATGAATTATACAATGGAATTCTTTGAATATGTTACAGAAAGAATCATTTATTATCATTTCGATTGAATTGTAATATTCAGAATTCTTTCATAGTGTTATTAAGTCATTAGAGTCCTGCAGGGGTGCACTCTTTTTTGTACCCGAAGCCGAACCGGCAATCTTTTTTACGCCCGGGCCCGACCCGATCCGGCTAGTAATGCACCCGGATCCAAACCGGTCTACTCAGTTATTTTTCAAAATATGATCAAATTTCTAAACTTTTATTAAATTCAATAAATATAATACGTTTAGTTTCGTTCATAAGTAACAGAGAAAAATATATATTACGTAAAATTACGTAAAAAAACAAATGAATCAGGAGTTAGCTGAAGATGTGGATCTTGCTCTTATGTCACATCCACGCACACATACAAGTCCACACCTACACCCACCCACACCCACATCCACACCCTCTCATCGTTATGAAGAACAAAGCATGATGCGAATTTTAGCAATTTAAGATATTTTTATTAAAACAGAATATTTTGTAAAGTGGATCTAAAAGAGAATAAACGCACTAAACTAATCGATATTGGTTAACTAAAAATATGAGTTTATTGAGATTGAGATCTTTCAGTTCATTCTGTCTTTTTGACAGAAACTGGTGGCTTTTGCTTTCGAGATTTGGCAGTCATTTTTCGTATAATTAATACGGCCCAATAAAGATTAAGTAATCTTGTAAGAAAAATTAAAATAATTTGTATTATGATCAACACTATACTAGTTGTATCATCGTAGTTCGCAGCCATTTGAATAAATTGAGGCACTGCTCTAAAGATATACGCACATATGATTGTTCCATAGACGAGACGACTTAAAATAAATGTAATTGCAAATAACGAAGCAAACAAATCATGTATACTATGTCGATGATGATAGATTACTTTTAGATTAAGTGGAATAGTTGAAACTTCTTCAGCAAGCATCAGAAAATGACTTGTATGACCAACACGTGTGTATACACCTATTAATCATATATGAATTTATTTATCATTAGTAATAATAATAAAAATTTTATTTTATTTTACTAACCTGAGACTCCAATTATGAGAACGACAATATGATGAAATATTGCTGCTTGACTTCTAACCGATTTGAAACAGAGCATAATGAGTAGATCACATATGAAATAACCTGCTGAATAACATATACTGTACGCCATATTTTCATAATGTGTACCTTTATCACCTCCACCTAATATACGATTTACTTGTGTAAAATTAATTGATGAACGTAAATAGAATATAGATACGGCAAGAACAGATACACAAGCATGAATTGTCGACAAAATATAACTTTTAATCAATGGTGTTATTGATGATGGAAGAAGATAGAAAATCAGAGAGTGACCAATAATAGAGATAAAAATTAACGATGATATTGGAAAGTCTAATGAAGGATTTGATCCAAGATCTATATATATATATACATAGTCATATCAAATATGTTTAAATAGAAAAAATAATAAAAAAGCTAATTGCATAATCTCTATGAAATTTAAGTTAAAGAAATTAGGAAGTAAATTTTCATTTTGACAAACTTTAATACTTACATTCAATATGATCATCTTTCTCAGTCAGCATCGTTATAAATTACCAAAAATGCGTGTGAATTTTGTTTTACTGTAAAACTACAGGCACGTGTTACCTACTACTCGACGAAATGGCAATGACGAGTAAAATAAACAGAGAAACAGAACCAAGCAACATGTTCTGTGTTGCATGAAATGCACGGCGAAGGCAATTTCATTGGTTATTACTTATAAGTAATTGTATTGTGATTCATTCAGATGGCGTATATGTGAATATATCAGGACTAGAATACAGATCCGTAAACCTTCTTTCAAATTGACAATTAATTGTGCATAAGATAACAATAAACTGTTTGCTTTTAAACAAATAAATTTACGTTGATTACTTGTTTGTTCCACATACATTCTCATTAGTAAAATCGTTAAAAATCAATGAAGTTTATTATACTTAAATTTCTTTTTATTTATGTTCGTAAGTGAGAAGCCAGTATCTTGATGGTGGGTGTGAGTGTATGATGTTAATGGATGCAGATATGGATGTCGGTGAATAATGCACCGATTACCCAAACCCGCACCCACACCCACCCTAGCCTTTAATAGCACTTCGAGAATGTATGAAAAAAATGAGTTCGTTTATTTTAAATATAGTAATAACTAAAATGACGACTTTCATGTCAAAACCGTTACTAAACAGGCAAAAATAAATTTTTATCTCAATTAGAAATTGTAATTGATATGGCAACCCTCGTAAAAAATAGCCAAGAATTTTATTTTGTTGGTTTGTAATGAAATATTAAAGATCAGAAAGAAAAATTGTGTTCTACTCTTTCGTATTACAGTCGAGAATAAAATAAGATCATCTGTACTTGGATATCCATAGAACAAGTAACGCTCGTCCGATAACTCTACTGGAAAAAACAACTAAAAACCGTGAAAAATCGGTCTTCGATGTTTCTTTGACCCTGCGAACAGACAAGCAAACAATTTATTTCTGCTGGACTCTTCTCTACGAAAAAGAGAATAACATATATTCATTTTCCTCTTTAGAAGTGATGAACGCTTTTTTTTAATTGTCTTTTTTATACTGTGTTTGGCGGATGAATGAAAGTTGACTACTGAAAGAACGAGCAAGAAGAAAAACAACTCAACATATAGATGAGATTTATTGAATAAGTAAAAAAATTATAATGAAATAAATATAAGTTAAGATAAAACTTATTAATAGTCTTTTACAAAAATTCATTCTTTTAGTTTCTGGAGATTATTCTCTTTGTGTGTGTATTATATCAGTATGAATAACATTCTATTCCACGAGAAATACTCTTTTTGTATTCATTAAGTATGACTAATTAAAATAAATTTAAAAGTATTAATACCTTTTATATTTAATCTTATTGTAATAAATTCATATCTCTCTGATTATTATCGTTATCTATACGTTTCTTTTCTTTTTTTTCTTGTGCTCATCTTTCATAATACTTAATTTTCCTGTTTCCGTCTATTAACACGTGGGCGGATGGGTGTTGGTAAATAACACACTGCTTAGCCACATTCACACCCACGTATATACACGACACACGCGAAAAGATTAGAATTTTTTGTTTTATTAAAATGTTGATTGTTGCCTTTAGTATGTAAATATCATGTATGAGTAATATTATGTTTTAAGGATTTCTGCTATATGAAGATGAATAATAAACTCATCTTTAAAGGTGAAATTAAACGTGAATGTAAGGAAAGAACAGAAAAGTACGAGTTCGAGCAACTCAAGCCGTCATTAAAGGATGAAAAAGGTTAAAGTGCGAGACAGAAGTACGAAGAGTGCGACAAAATTTTGATATTTAACGCCATGTTAGTTTCCTTCATAAGCGAAAGTATATATTGGAGTAGAAAGATTTCAGTATCGAATAGACATACGTGGTTGCATTTAGTGTATAAAAAAATATTTATCGACGACAATTTTACTTTCTTATATCTCAATACAAGTGGCTTATTCTAATATTATTCATGCATCTTTAATCATCATCAATATTCATAGGTAATAGTTAATACGATTTATTTTTATTATTAAATAGATAATTAATTATGAATAGAATTTTTGTATGGTAGAATATATCTTCAATTATTTTAATTGGAAAGAAAAAAAAATGTATGAATTAATATTAACATGTATACAAAATTTTAATGAAGAAAGTAAGATGATAATTATGAGATATTTAATATTATTCATTGAGTCATCGTGAAGAAAATAGAAAGGCTTATGTTGTCATCAACACAGATGAATCATATGATTATTGCTTGTGAAAAAAAAAAGAAATAAGATATAAGAACTTTTGACGGATATTTATTTAAATCTAGGTAACTATACATAATTATTATGTATTTTGATCAATTTTTGATTACAATCGTGTATATTCTACCTGAATAGATTAATCTGAATAAGTTTTACATATTTTTATTTTATTTAAGATTAACATAAAGTTTTCTATTATTTACCTGTCTTTCCACTTACAAATTTTTTCATTAAAGTGAAGATGAACCTGACTACGAATGATGAAGCATTCTTTGGCTATCGAACTGTACAACATAAGATATTTGGAATCCAAAAGACCGTGTGCTTTGATAGCAAGATGAAAATCATTAAGAGCATATGGAATGAAAATTTTGATATGAATCAAAATAAAGTATTAATGACTTCGAATTCGAAGATCAACCTCGCTCGCACAAAGCAAGAGAATGTTTCTACTATTGTTATGTCACATAAACATATCTTTGTCAAATTGATTACGGATTACATTAAAAAAACCGCTGCGATTTGTATGACTTATCCGATTGTGTTCACAAAATACCAAGATGGATTTTTAATTTATGAACACATATCATGGAATGTGTTGAATCAATTCAAAGCTATCGTTGGATATATTGATTATTTGAAAGTATTGATTTCAACGTATGTAATCGATAAAAATGTATTCAAGCAAAATCTTCAAATTTTCGATATGTTAGAACAAAGCCAAATTATCGTCGAGAAAGATAAAGAATGTGTTACAAAGTTGAAAATGTATTTTTTACTTTTACGAGCATTCGATGGACAAACAAATGTTTTCAATGATATTGTTAATCTCTTACCGAAATTTCAAAAGATAGGTATCAATACTTTATGGCTTAGTCCACCTCAATCACAAACAGCAGCAGCTCCTCCTATGTTTGCTTTAAATGATCATGGATATTGGCCAAGTGATCATGGAAAAATTGATCCTATTTTAGGTGGAGAAATTGCATTTGAACACTTAATTAAAGAAGCACATAGATATGGGATTGAAATTGCTATTGATGCCGTTCTTAATCATTTCGGTTATGCTGATGAAGTGATTTTAAATGGTGAAAAAATTTTAACTTCAAATCCGAATTATTTTGTAATTATTCCTGATATTCAGTCAACATATAATCGTCATAACGAATTAAACTGGAAAATTGAAGAAAGTTTAGATGTAGAAAATATTCTACAATATCGTGAAGAATTATCTCATTATCCATTATTCGATTTACCAACACTTCGTAAAGATAATTCTCACATTCGAACTTATTTATTGAATACTTATAAGAAATTTATTGATATGAAAATTACAACGTTTAGAATTGATGCTGCAAAACATATGCCTGCTGAATTTCTCATCGATTTTTCCAATCAATTAAATAATTATTCATTGATGCAATGGAATCGTCCAATTAAATTTATTTGGGAAGTTTATATATGTAATTCTCATGCTCTTTCAAAATTCATACAAGGAACTCTTGAAAGTCTTAAAGATTCATCCAATACATTTTTCTATGATTTTCCTATGCGTCAGGAATTCAAACGAATTCAAGATCCGAATTATCGATTTGAATGGCTTGTTAGTTTTGTTCAATTTCGTGAACAAACTCAACAATATCTCAATCATCTAATTCCTTTAGTTGAAGATCATGATGATGGTTTGCCAATCAATAATCCTTCGATTGCTCGAATGATATATGTATTGACCGAATTCTATAGTCGAAACTCAACATCTATCTATCATGGTTCTGAACAGACAGGAATTCGGACAGTTAATCGACCACGAATCAATACTATTAATGAATTTGGTGATATCGCAATTTTAGTTGATCGACTTGGACATCGATTATTGTCTTATCGAACTTGTCAAGAAACACAAACACTATTTCATGTGATTGAACAAGATTTTCTTGTCAGTGAAAAACAGTTAAAAAATAAGCGATCCATATTTTTGGCTATGAATAAAAGCTCAGTTTCACGAACAATGGAACTTTCTTTGCAAGATTTATATGGTGAAAATCAAATAACAATGGAAAATATTCTGAAAACTAATGATTTACAAGCTGAACTTATTTTTTCTTCCAAAATACTTCGGCTGACAGTTTCACCATTCAATTTTTTAATTATTGAAACTCAACCAATCGTGCAGTAGTTTGTAAATAAAAATACATCTCATCATATCATAGTAATTTCAGGACGAATATGTGTGCACATGAATTGCAATGTTACATAAATAATACTTCGATCTGAGTTCATCCTCTTGTGGGTATAAATAGAACACACCCATACCAACACTCTATAATAATTTTTGTATTCATAGAGAAATTTAACATCATTAGAAGATTTTTATTTCAAAAACTTTGATCTATCGCTTAAATAATTTTTTTTCCATAATAAAAAATGGTGTTTCAAAAAAAATCGAAACTAAAATAGCTGCAGCATAACTAAAAAATATATGTGAAATAAAGTTATTTATCGCAAGATATCTTTGATAGTAGAAAGGCATAGTTTGATTGAATATAATGATATGAAGTATTGTAGAATGAACTAAATAGCATGAATAATTAATTCGAGCTAATGAAGTCCAAATAGGCCAAGAAAGAATTTGAGTTACTATCCCACCTTGATTTATACTGCAGATAAATAAAAGCCAGCCAATAACAATTGACCAGAGTGTTCGTGAAAGTGACATATAGACAACAGTGACTGGTCGACTTAGACCAGATGCGCGAATGCTATCAGAATTAGTCACCAAAAGCCACATAAAACCAATGATAATAATCAGAATAGTCACAATAATTTTATTGCGTCGATTAATATGATATTCACGACCAGTAATTATAACAATATATCCAGTTAAAAGTCCGATAGCGTATGCCGATATACGACACCATGGTTTAATATAAACATTATTATAGAAACTGGGACCATCCTATGACAAAAACAAAATCACAGGGATGATCGACTTTGTTTACTAAGAAAAACTTACATTATTAGTTTCAGTAGTTAGAGTATTGAGTATCATATTTGGATAATAAAGAAGAATAGTTAAAATTGATCCAATTCCAACGAGAACAAAAACTATAGCAATTATAAATGATAAAGTCCTTCGTCCAAGAGCAAATGGAATTAAAGTTAATGGTGCAATCCAATGAAATTGCATATCATTATGTAGATACCATGCAATATTTAAACACATTTCATCCGGTCGTACTATATTACCTACATAAAGAATCGATGTCCACCATGATCGTGTACGACAACCTTTCGATTCAAATCCTTGTTCAAAAGGATATATTGGTCCTTGTCCAAAATAGGGTGTTAAATTTATACTAACTAGAATCATTAGAAGAAATGCTGGTGTTAATCGAATATATCGATGAATATAATAAAGATACATTAAACGAAGTGAAAGTTTTCCTTCTTTTTTCACTTGACGAATAAATAAAATTGCCGTGAAGAAACCACTTAGAACAAAAAATGTATCAACACTACAGTGAGCACTTAAGATTAATTGAAATGCTATAGTACGTGACGAAACGAGAATATCTATTATATTACTTGTATAGGATAAATTGAAAAGTAATGAATGACCAATAATTATCCAACATAAAGATAATACTCGAATACCATTAATAAATAAAAATGAATCATTTGTATCATCATTAGTTTTCTGTTCCAATGTAAATATTCGACGAAGTGATTTTAATGCAGAAAATTCAGCTAAAAATAGTATCTTCGATGTTCGATGTGTTTCAGACTGAGTAGTTATTTCATTATCATCATCCACTAAATGATTGTATGTATTATTAGATATTATTCGATTATGAACTATATTAAATTTTAACATAGAAATAAGATCAATGATTGTTCCAACAAGAACAAGTAAACCTAAAAGTGAAAGAATAACAATAGTTGCTATTGCTCCATTTGTAAGACCTTTTTGTCCATTTGGTAGATCATTCGAACAAACAAGATTTTCTTGAGTAATACTAAGGTTTTTGAAAAGTGTATGAATCAAAGAAACAAGTGTTTGTCGATCACATGATGATGGAACACAAAGACCAAGGACAAGAGATGCCATGGAGCTTGATCTAGAGCGAGATGCTGTTGGTGTAAGAGTACCTAAAACAGACTTTTAAATGTATTGTACAATACGACGAATATATATATACAATGTTGTGTATTGAATGGTTGGGATACGAAGGATTGATTTGCTGGATTATATATAGGCTGTATACATTCATCGTAGTTACCTATCCAATACATGTTACCTTTGAGAATACCAGAAGGTAATGGTTTTCCCCAAGCATCGAGTATTTTGAGTGCCCACATCTCTTTTTCTACTGCTGCTCGAAGAATTAATTCGATATCTTGTTCACATGGACTAGTCTTGTTATTCGACAACAATACAGACATATGTTCTAGCATTTGTTTAGGTGTAGGATTGTATTCTACATCTTTAAGCAGATCAATGGGTGAGAAATATTGATATTGACGTAAACGATTAATTGCTAAATCAAATTGTGGTGGAATAAATTGAGAATTTATATTCCATAGGACAGAAAATAACAGAAATAATGTAATAGTCAACATTGTAATTTTGTTATAAACTCGTGACTAGAACATTACATTATGTACACAACAATAGCAGTGCTGATTCAGATGGTATGAAAACAAAACGACATTTTTACCATTTGTCTAAATGATCGATACTTGTTTCTTTTCTTTAGAAAAAAAATCTGACCATGTGTTGCTGTTCTGCGCACTTTAAGTTCACGCGCACTTTGAGTATGCGCGCACTTTTGTAACGGAAAGAGACAGAAAGAAAGAAAAGTGCGTATATGAATCATACTCGATTTCAACTAGTTATCTCATTTATGAAACTAAAATGTCCGAAATACGCAAGAATACTCGTTGAATATTAAAAATAACAAAACTTTCTGAAGGAAAAAGATTGTTCAGTAATTCTTTATCTTATCTCAAATTAGAAATACGTAACAACATTGCTTTTCATTCAGATTTTTCTTCTATATTATTAAAATAACAAATCAAATGATAATTTTGTTCAGGATGTGCGTGTGAATATTAAGAAAGCCACACTACTGACGTACTGTCGCACATGCGTCCTCGCCATGCGTACTATTTTAATAAGTATGAGTCATCCATCTCCTTTTTAAAACCAACAAACGTTATGGCATGTATTTTTGAAAGATTGAAAAAACAAAATTTAGCTACTAAAAAAACATTTTCTTGCATTCTATTGTTTTACTCTTGTCAACAATATACAGTCTATAATGAACAAAAGCATCACAACAAGTAGATATATGACCAGTTACATTATAGTCAAACAACTATTCTAATCGAATATTATGAAATGCATAATACTGATTTGATAATTGGCAGTAATTCATCTGTATTGTCTGGTGATAATACTCGTAATATATTATTTTGTATTTCTTCCTGAACTGTTTGCAATGAGATGATATCATTAATAAGTTCACTAAATAAACTAATTGCTTTTTCATATCCATACACTGTTTCCATATATTTCCATAATAATTCTGTGTAATAATTATGTGCACGATATACAGACATTGTATCATTAAGTATTTTTTCATCTTGAGGATTTGTTGTTGAAATTCCTTTTGTAAACATAAGTACAACAAGTGCTAATTCAATTATTTTTCTATCATATTTTACAAGTTGTAAAAATGAAAGAAAGACCTTTTTTGATTGTTTAAATGTATTGTAACCATGAAGTACTGAATAAAATTCTATATTATCTTGTACATCAGAACTACTTTCAATGAATTCATGAGTGTCTGGGTTATATGACAGTGCACGATTTACACTAAGAACTGTTGGAATATTATATTTAATTAAAGTAACTTTGTCATCAATATTTAGTTGATTAAATTCCGGTATTTGTTTGAAGAATGATAAAAGTCGCATCACTGGCACGGAGTGACTATTGAGAACGTCTATAAAAGTTCTTGAATACATTGATGGATCCCAGGGGAGACCATCGCGAGCTGCTAAAATGTAAACATACAAAAAGAGAAAGATCAAGGAAAATATTTGCTTACCTAGTTCGATACGTTTTTGATAACAACATGATACAGCTTCTATACGTTGTAAATCATCCAAATTGAGTAATGTCTGTTGTGACTGAGGCGATAGAAAATCGCTGAAATCTGTGAGAAGAATATCTGTGTCTATCGATGGTAATAACTGAGGATAATATAAGAATAGATAAATAAAATAATACGTTTTTTAAAAATATTCTTACATCGATCGACAATGGAGGTGTTGAAAGCTGAAGTTCTTCGTTTGTTGACAAATTTGAACTCAATGCTAATTTCCTATTTTCTTCTATTTGACGACGTTTTTCTGCTTTTTGTTCGACCTAGAATTTAATTTTGTAAAAGATTCTTCTTTTATTTCATTAATACCGTCAATAGTCGATCACATTGCATTCCACTATTAAAACATTTAGCCAAACGACAGGCTGAACAAAAACGACGTGTTTCAAGTGTTATTTTGCAATCACCTTTACCATCACAATGGAAAGCAGTCTAAATAGAAAAGGTATTATCATTCTGGTAACTGTTAAAAGTATATATCAAAGTTGCATTGAGATTCAAGGAGAAGGCCAAATTAGATCCACTGTGAACAATTTTCTCTTTATCTAAGCAACATAAATATGATGTATTTATTCCTTTAAACTTACAGGCGATTTTCGAGCATGACGACGAAAAAAAGCTTTACAACCTTCACATGTGATCGCACCAAAATTGTATCCATGTGCTGATGATCCACAAATGACACAAACCAAAGAAACATCCTTAGGTCTATTCTTCTTATGTGATGATTGTACCTTGTTCTGAAGATAATACATTCTTTTTGTTTTCTTTAACAGAATAATTGAATACTAACGTGCTGAACAGATCTTCCACTATTGTCATTTTCAGATGGAAGAATAATCTGTTCTAGAAATGAAATATTGTTGCTTTTTTCAATTTGATCAATCACACTTTCATCGGCGGTAATAATCATTATTCGTTGCCGTTTTTGACCCGTTCCTAGCAATTCGACTGAGGACATGATTGAGAATATTGTTTTTAGGTTTCTAAAATGATTTGATTCTCTACAAGACAAGCTTTTCTTCATATAAAATATGTATAAAATCAAATAGTATAATTACTTTTCTTGAAAAAACTTCTTTTTCAGTATAAACAGCGATTACATATAATATTTAACTTTTGCTCTTCTCAATGGTATATATGAGTTATATATGTGAGTCACATAATGTGACTCATACAGGTGAGTCAATAGACCACAACAGGTAATATTGCTGGTTATTAGAAATTTTTGTTAGCGTATAACTTTAATATTTTTTTTATATTTAATAAATCATCTGCGTTTACTTTTAAACTTATCAAAAGAAAAACATAATAATGTGCAGAAAAGGAAAATTTTTGACAGATGGTAAATTATTTTTTCTTTCCAGTAATATAAAACTACATTGATATTTTATTTCAATGTATAAAATATAACACTAAATTTATTTAATTTCATTATTATTGTAAGCTCACAAAAATAAAATATACTTACATATTTTCAAAGAATTTTCTTTAACTAAATCCTATCATAATATAACAACGATTATCATTAAGGACATTGCCACATACACTAACGTTCTTTTTATTTGAATGGGCTGTTTTTCTGTTACTCATAACAAAAAGCAAAAATGTGAAAGAAGAAAAAAAAAGCGTCACCTACGTCCCATCGAGCATACATACAGAACGGAAAATATGATAAGAAGAAATGTGAGTAAGCAGAAAGAGAGTATGCAAGAAAAAATACAACCGTTCTGCATTACTACTACGTCGGTTAGCATAGAATGACGACTGATGTGTATATTTTTCTTTAGTTTTTTTTTAATCAAATTAGTTTTCTCATGTGGTGACATATATAGATATTGTATTCTTCGTTTTTCTCTTTTCAAGACGGATTGTTCAAATGAAAGTAAGCATTAAAAAACGTACTGTTCGAAATTTATTTTACAATGATTCAGATCTGGTAAGTCTTTGTTGGTTCGATTTACTGAAAGAAGTTAAAGTACCATCAAGATAAAATATCGTCCTTGAATCTGATAAAGGATTTATTTCTTATCAAAATGAAATGAAAATCCTACCTCGAACAGTGCTATTTTACTTTCGTTATACGACGTTTTCTAACAGTGTCGGAACTATAGATTCATACAACTGAAGTTTAGAGAGCCTATAAGAGAAGAAAATCGATATAAGTCTCAATAAGAATTGATTTAGCATTTTGAAATTCAAGATGATAATTGGGCACATCTTTATGAACGTGTTCAAGAAAAATATCTACGTTATTATAGCATCAATCATCTTCAGGATGAGGGTCAAGAGACCTCAAACATTCTCACTACAAAAAATATCTCTATATGAATATTTAATTATCTTTATTTTAACTAAAACTATATACAACACTTTTCACTGAAGCAAATAAAAATGAATATTTAATATCAATCTTTGTCTTTTCTTGACAAATCAACACGTTTATCCACTGATGAAGCTCGTTTATTTTTAATACTACGAGGAAATGATACTGGTTGTAACTTTTTTGTCCATGATGAATTCCGACGGTGTTCATGTTCTACTTTGATTTTTTCAAATTCATCAATAATACTTTGACATGTTTTCGGATGAAAACCTGAAATATTTGCGGCAGTTTTCGCAGTTGAAGAAAATTTCTTATCATTTGCATCCTGTATTTCTTCATTATTTGCAGTTGATAACGACGAAGTAACATCAAAAATTCCCGATGGTAGACGTCTTCCTTCTCTTTGATAAGTTTCTACAACATTTCTTACACTAGCATAAATACCTCGGCTGAGCCAGGTAAGTGATGAAAGAATACTAGAGCTAGGTTTTATCCCCATGTTTATTGCACCTATGACTGATCCTGCTGCACCACCAAGTATACCATGACGTTTATAACCAGCGCGTGGTTGTGTTATCATGCCTGTAAAACCCTCTTTCCAACCATACCATAAGGTTAAACCAGCTGCCTTTGCACCTGATTTAAAATCAATTACAATCGGCCGTGGACGAGCTTTTGAACTACAAATATGAAATAATATAAAAATTATTCTGAAAAATATTACTAAATTCGCTTACCTATACGGATCATATAAATAAGGCACACGATCAAGTACATCGGTCAATTCACCATACATTGCGAAGGTTCCAATTGTTAAATGACCTATGCCTAAACCAATACCTTTGGCAACAGTTCCAACATTTACAAGTGCTTTATTGTTTATACTATCAGTGCTGTTTGTTCGTTTCAAGTCTGACGCAGTATCAAGAAACATTGTAGAAATAGCTTTATGAGAATGTTCCCATAAACCGTGCATCATTATATGAGCATGATTATCATGTTTAATTTGCCATTCTCGTGTAACATGTAAACGAAGTTGAGCTTCTTCTACGACGCCAGCTGATATTAATACTTGTGCTACTGGTCGTGATATCTGCATGCGATATTTATCCAAACGATAACATGCAGGAAATGTTGGTTCCAAATCACTATGCATCCGTTTTAAGGGTAGATTTGCATGAAATGCACGTACTGCTGATGCACATCCATCTTCTTGAAGAATAGAATCACGAAGACATTTAGCAGCGGTACATGTTGACGGTTTGTGAACAAAATGAAATGCTTGAATTAATTGATCTTTTGTAATCGACTTTCCTGGAACTGGGTGAGGGCCAGCACCATTCTTTGCAATTACAGTACCCCAAAAAAATTGATCTCCAAAAAAAGGCACAATAATTGTTGGTTTACCAGCACGTAGACCAGCTGCAGTTGTACCTGCGCCACCATGATGACATACAGCTGAAACTGAAAAACGAAACAGCGATAAATGTGTATATTTTTTATCTATTAATTCATAAGGAAAATCGTCACTTACCATGTTGAAAAAGCCAATCATGTGGTACATTTCCAATTCTAAATATATTCGGAGGTAAATGATCTGTATCTGAAGCAAGACCCGATAAAACAGCACGATATCCAGTTTGAACAAGTGCATCGATTAAAATTGTAAGAATACGACGAGAATCATGTCCTGCAATAGAACCAAAACCGATATAAATTGGTGGTGATAATTTCGATTGATTATGATTGTTATCATTGAGCTGAAGAAAATCGAGTAAATCTTGAGGTGGATTCGTGTAAACGGTACCAAGATCCAAAAAGAAAAAGCCAGAAACATTGATATGTGCTCCCCAATCATCAGGTTTAGGAACAAGTGATGGTGACCAACAATACGTATGTGGTACTCGTTCATCACTTAATAAGTTTATTGCTTGACTCGTATTTAAAGTTGAAAGACCCAATGTTTTCTTTCGAAAATTATTAAATATATCTCGCATACCTGTCCATGTCTAGAAAAACGAAATTGTTTTTTTTTTCTTATTTAGAATTTTTATTTTAATTTACCAGCATTTCAATAACATCATACGAATATCGATTAATTACTTTTCTTGATCCTGTTGAATTATCAATGTTTGAACATGGATGTGGAAATGCTGCTGTAGATGTCCAAGGCATAGTGAATACGATATGTAAAGGAATTTGTAATTTTTCTGCACAATGAATATGACCAAATGATGGTGGATTAGCAATAATTGCTTCAGCTGTAAATGGCATATCTGTTTCATCATCATTTGCTATACATGCTTGCCATGTAGAAGCAAGAATATCAGATATAGTTCGACGTTTTTTGCCAACATCTCCTGCCATAATACTGTCCATTGAAGGAATAATACCGGCATTTTTCACCATAAAGGAGATTAAATCTACTGGATCACCACCTAATGGATAAAATTCCAGACCATTACCACGAACAAATGATCGAAATGTTTCATGTGTGGCTAATCGAACACGATGACCATATGCTCGAAGTGCTTGACCTAGACTAAAATTTACAAAATTAGAGTTTTTACAAAATTTATAGAACACAATTTAACTTACGCAATAAATGGTTGGACATCACCGCGCGTACCAACAGTTAGTATTAAAATAGCTAAACGAGGTATGAGAAGATCATCTTTTAATTCTTCTTTATTTTCATTGATTTGCCTTTCATTCTGCTCATATGGAACAAATTGTGGTGATGATGAAATTGATTTTAAAGGTGCTTTGTATTTCCGTTTGGATTTAAATAAAACACCAATACGTCCATTAGTATCATCAAGACTAATTGTATAATCCATAATTTCATTTTCATTTTGTTCTTGAGTTTTACTTCTGCTTGAAAATTCTTCACTGACGTTTACTTGTCCTGTTGCACAAATTATTTTACCATGTAGAATAAGACGAGCATGACGAGAAAGAGTAGAATTTGAACAAGAAATGACTAGAATATTTGTTTGAGTTTGTTCATCAATATTTTTACTATATAATAATTTTGAAGACAAGTCAATAGAATTAGTTAATGATGTGAATAAACCAGAAAATATTTTTGTATTATTTAACCATATAGTGCCAGCAATATCTGCTGAAATAGAGCTGTTATTTAGATTATCATAGGATTCAAACATAAGATGAATTTGTTTATTGGTCGATGTCCAATCGAATTGTTTGTAATACCACCATTTGTATGAATTTGTTTCTTTAAATTGACTTGATTGATTTATATTGATAATATGTGGTAAATCTATTAAAGACGAACAATGATTTATATCGCCATGATGTATAGCTGCAACCATATTTTCTTCATTCATTTCTTCATTCGCTTGTTGACAATAACATTTCCAATCATTATCAAACTCAATATTTGTTAAATCTTCTCTAGATGCTGCCATATTATCTGTCTCTTTTTGTTAATTAACCTTGAAAAAAAATAACTTTCTTATTAAAAATCTCTCTGTTGTCCTCATCGTTCTCTTTCCTTTTATACTATCACAACGCACCCGAACTTTTCTGTCGTTCTGTTCTTTTTCTTTTTTTACATCGACATTACAAGCCATATAGTATCTTATTTGCCGTCTAACAAACGTAGTCATGTAAAAAGAGAAGAAAAAAAAGCCAATGATTCATCGAGAACTCAGTTCTGTCACACAAACTTTTACCTCAATATTAGTCATATTAGCACTCGGAGTGCGCTCTGTTAAAACGTCATTTGAGTTCGTCAATATTATTATTGAACTAAAAACAACAACATAAGCGAGATATGATAAATTTAAGATATAAAAGATAATATAACTCATAAATAGAATGAATGACGCAGAATAAATTCTCCTATCTTAGTGAAATGAGTAAGTCAACGTTCCAAGTCAAATAGAAATTATTAGAACGTATCGAACCAGTGGCGTAGCGAGGGGGGGGGGGCAAATGGGCAATTGTCCATTTCATTTGGAGATTTGCCCATTGTAATTTTTATAAATAAGCTTTTGCCAATTGAAATTTTACTTTTTCAAAATTGTTCATTTATTTTTGAATTAAAGTGTAACTATATCTTTTTCTTCCATTTGAAGCACACATACACTCTTTACTTTTTCTTTCTGTGAAGAATTAAAAAAAGAAGACAAGAATCGCTTTTTGTATTTTATTTGCAAGTTTGGATGAACATACAATAATTTGCTTAAAATGGATAATGACCGAATAAAAAATTGGTTAAACGAAGTAATTAAAGACACAGCCAGTGCATTATATCCAAATGTTCGTTATTTATTAATTTTCTTCGTAACATTGCCTGTATCAGCAGTTTTTGCTAACAGAAGTTTCAGTCAATTATCGAGAATTAAAAGTTATTGTCGGTCTACAATGAAACAAAACAGGCTTAATGGACTTGCTTCTGCTAATATTCATATAGATCTCGATATAAATTCAGATGAAATATTGAAATTATATGCAAAAATGAATTCTCGTCTTTCTGGCTTTGGAATTTGAATTTGAAACATCAATGTTATAGACAGAGACACTAAAATAGACTAAAAATACGCCTGACTCAAGCTTAAGATCAGAGTTTAATGCATGTCTGATTAAAATAACCTCATTTCAAATTTTTGTGTTTTTTCTACATTATCAGTACTTTGCTGGGCCAAAAAGTTTTAGCCTATCAGTAAAAATCTTGCCCATCGTTTTTTTTCGATGCAAGTGAAGTTTGCCCATTAGTCTAAAAATCCTGGCTACGCCACTGTATCGAACGAGTGAAATATTTAATAAAATCCAGCTGTCAGACTCGACAATATACTTAATACTATAATTCAATGATATACAACAATTTTTGTCGCTATTCACTTACCAAATACGTCGGATTATGGTAGGATTGAGCAGTTCTAGTTATCAGATATAGTCGCATCTAACGATCTAGATTCGAAAAAGAAATGTGAGTGTCATCATATTAATCATAGTTCAATCATACCAAAGAGGAAACAGCTGATTTAGAATCATATGAAATCATCAGAATTCAACTTTTCTTCGTAAGAACGCGTTATTTTGTACGATTTAATGCAATATCATCACTCGTTAAATTGCAAAGATTAACGCGCTTTTCTCGATTTTATTTTTGTCAAAATTTCACCGTTTTTACGCGTTTTTTTGTGTTTGTCTGCCTGAGTAAGAAACAGATGAACTTCTCATGTGACTAAATAAATTCTTTAAGAATATATATACAAAGAGCACTAAATACTACATAGATATCAGTACTATACAATGCACACATTCGCCGTTAACGCCATCTACACTCACACTACACCAGATTGTAAGTTTTTTTTTTCTAAAACAAAATATTCCTCACCTTGATGTAAACAGATTACTTATTAATAAAGTATGAACTATGATTGCTTTTAGAAAATTTCCAATCATTTGTATATTGTAAGAAAAAACAAATCGTAGATTCATTCACAAAACCACGTGTATGTATAGTATTTTTGTTTCGTTCGTTATCGATGAAGCATAACCTTATGCTATTTACTTATAATAATATGTATACATAAATGGTTAATACCTAACATGAAGTGTACAAAACACAAGCAATAAATAAGTAAGTATTCATTGATCTTGATGATGATAATGAAGTCTTTTCGAATTAGAATTCATGTTGGATTCTACTCGTCGAATGCCTTCTAATGACATGAGATCTAAACATCAAACCTTTCGTATTGAAGATGAATTATACACTTTAATTAATAGACGAGGCACTGGAAATTTTGCAACGGTTTGGTCATCGATCACATCACAAGGTAAATATTCAAATAGTTATTATGAATTATATTTATGACGATGTCGAGTATATCGATAATAGTCAATAAACAGCGAGAATTTCTTATATGAAAGAAAAACTTCTGATATTTGATTTGTAGGTTATCGGACTGCCGTGAAAGTATTCGATCTTCGTAATCGTCGAAATAATCTTAATCCAGCTAAAATTCGCGCATGCTTTGCAAATGAAATTAAAATGCTGTATATCATACGTCATGCAGAAAATTGTGCTGTAACTATATATGGATCTGCTATAGATTTACGACGAGGTTTAGCTTTTATCGCTATGGAATTAGGAAATGATACATTACTTGATCGAGTTGAAAATCTTCATGGAACACATTTAAAACGAGCTAGATCTGGTTCTGATTATATTTCTACAAAAGATCGAATACATATATGGATTCAATTAGTTAATATTATTATTGGGCTTCGTCAATATAATATCGTAAGTGAAAAAACAAAAAAAAAGATGATCTCTAATTACTTATCGATAAGACAATGATTATTATTATTATAGATTCATCGTGATATCAAACCAGCTAATTTAATATTTTTTGGATCACAATTGAAAGTTGTTGATTTCGGTATAGCACAAATAAGATCAGCAGGGTACGTGAAATATTATTTTAATAATTATTTTAGTCTTATTATTAAATTTAGACAATATGAAAGTCCAGTACGTAATCATAGTGGTTACAGTGCGCCTGAATGTTTAACAGCTGAAGCACCTGTGACATCAAAAGTTGATATATACTCAATAGGTGCTATTCTATATTATTTGACTTATGGAAAAGCACCTATGCGACCAAGTTCACGAGCACCATTTGGTGTTCGACGTACTCGTTCTACTCGTGTCCAAAATTTACTTTATCATTGTCTACAACGAAATTTGTTTAAACGACCATCGCATCGTTGGCTTGCTGAACATCCTTTAACAACAGCATTGGAACAATCTGAATAAACTGAAACATATTTTATTATTTTTATATGATTTTTTTTTCAAATAATTCATCGATTTAAATAGAAATAAAATAAATAGTTATTACTAATACAGAAAACTAAATGTGTAAAGTAATATTTGGATGAGTTTTACTAAATTCCGTTTGTATTATTTTAATTTCATCCAAAGAGAATATATTGCTGTTGATATAGAGATATTGAAGAGATTTTAATTTGAAAATACTTCTTGGTAAATAAGCCAATTTGTTATGAGATAAATCAACGTGTGAGAGTCTCTGAAGTTTATCGATGGTAGTTGGAATGAATGAGAGTGTCGTATTTCGAAGTTCAAGAACTGCGAGATTAGTGAAAGAATCTAGCGTTTTTACATCTTTGAGAGGATTGTTATTTATACGAAGTATCGCAAGACTGGTTGGAGTTGTGAAAGTAGGTATCTCAGTAAACAAGTTATCGGAAATATGCAGACAATCGACGTCGCTTCGAAATCCATCGATTTTCGATAAACGATTATTTTCAAGATAAACATGTCGTAAATCTGGCATGGTGCTGAGACTGGATATTTGAGAAAGTGAACAATTATTCAAGTTTAGCGAATAAAGACGAGTCAAAGATGCGAATTGATCGGTTAAATTGGTGATCGATGAGTTATAGATGTTGAGCGTGTATAGCCGCTGTAAATTTGCTAACGTATCTGGTATAATACCTAGTAGAAATATACAATCTGTATTATTAATTCATTAAATTAAGATAGTAACTCTATTACCATTTGCAAAATTCATATTGATGATAGTCAATTGATCAAGTTTTTTTAAGCAAAATATACTTTCTGGAATCATATTACCTGTATCTATGAGTGTGAGTGAAGAGACAAAAGTATTCGTATTGTCCATTGTAGCAATGTTACTATCCGAATAATGTAACATAGGATTGATCATGATGCGAAATGAAAAATCATACAAAATTTCATAGTCATTTGCATATTGTTTACAATCAACAGCTGACTTGCCATTTCTCGTTTCGATATCTATAATATATGGGAGAATAATAAATTATATTCTATAAACAAGATGAAATGAACTGACTTTTGTATCCACCGATAATGTGTGATCGCAATTGTTCTATTGGTACTTCTACATTGCACTCTGTCATCGTACACCACCAACATACGATGATAAGCAGAAGAACCATCTTGTATTCATTCATGTTTTTATTGTTATGCTCACTGCTAATTCCTTTTAAATCACTGTCGACATTCTCTTCTCATTTCTCTAACCTTTTCTATATATAAGATCAAATGATGATGCATGATTTTAATCGAAAATTGACTTAGGATTAATGTCAGTTATATCAAAATCTTATTAAAAAGTGTGAAAAAATGCTATTCTTATCTGATTCATTCAATAGATTTTTATTAATATAGTCAATCAAAATATACATTAATTAAAAACGCAAAATAATATTAGGATGACTTATGTTGAAGAGTGATTTAATTGTTTCAATCTCTCGATCGGAGAATGAGTTGTTGTTGACATAGACAGTATTGAGTATGTTCAACTCAAGAATATCTCTAGGTAAATAAAATAGGTTATTGGAAGACAAGTCAAGATATTCTAGCTTCTGCAATTTGTTGATGGTAGGTGGAATGAATGACAGTGTTGTATTGTGAAGGTTAATTTTTTCTAGATTTATAAAAGAATCTATCTTTAGGATACTTTTCAAAGGATTATTGCTCATAGAAAGTTCTTTCGTGTATGTTGGTGTCTCCACAATCGGTATTTCCGTAAAGAAATTGTTTGAAAGCAATAAACTGTAAATATTAGCATTTAAACCATCGATTTTAGATAAACGGTTCTGTTCAAGTTGAACATGTCCTATATCGGACATATTACTGAGATCAGGTAACTGAGAAAGAGAACAATTAACTAAGATTAACCAATAGAGACGAGTTAAAGACGTTAGTTGATTGGTCATATTAGTAATAATCGTATTAGTAATCTCGAGACACCGTAATAATTGTAGATTTGCCAAACTACCTGGTACAACACCTAAAGACATCTTTGATGGATACTTTCAAACAGTAATAATAATTTTATTACCGTTAGTGAAAACCATATCTTTAATGATCAAATACTTAAGTTCTTTTAAACAAAAGATACTTTCAGGAATAATGCTGTTTGTATCTGCAAGTGTAAGTGAATCGACAAAAATACCTGTACGATACATAGTAGCAATACTCTTATTCCAGCCATTTGTTTTTGGATTGATCATGATGGGAAACGAAAAATATTTGAGAACTTCATAGTCATTTGCATACTGTTTACAATCTAGAAATGGCATGCTACCTAAAATGTATATCATGCTGACAAATATTGTTCTCTGACAAGAAAAAAACTAAATTCACCTTTATATCCGCCAGTCATGTGTGATTGGAATGGTTGTTGTGATACTACGACACTACAACTCATTGTCCAACACAACCAACATACGATGAGACGCAGAAAAACGATTTTGTATTCATCCATTCCTTTTTTTGTTGTGTTTACAAATTTGTTTTAAACGACTGTCTGTATTCTTTTCTCATGCGCTAATATTTTTGTTATATATAATCTATTAATCTGTAAAAATGTCATTTAATACGTAAATCAACAACGATATTTGCATATTTTTTTGTCCTTTCAAAATGAGTATTATCTTCGATTAATGTAGGATGTGGATATCAGTTTTACTACAGTTTGAACTGAAAAAAATAGTCGTATTTACGTATTTAATTGTTATTGAAATTTTGAAACATAAACTTGTTTTCTTTTACTTTTGATTAAAAAATAATATTGATAAAAGATAGGGATGATTTTGGATGTATAATGAATACACAATCTTTCTGTACCTTAATTCTATATAATTTTTATAAGTTTAATTTTTGATTCTAATTAATTTTTTTCAAAATCAAAATTTTCAATCTAGATTTACTAAAAGGAGGATATCAGTAATAACTTATCTGTCATGATTTATGTTTTGTTTAAAAAAAATGATTGATTAAAATTCATTCATTTTTACATTTAATATATCGATTAATATCAAATTAATATTCAATGATAAAGTCACTTTCCCTCTATAATAGATCATATAGTTCAAGTAATTATTATTATTTTTTAAATTTTTTAACAAGGATAAATTTTGTGTAAAACTATCAAAAGAGGGTGGGTGTGGATATAATACTCATGCCCACACTTAAATATATTGCTCAGTCTACTTCATATTCTCTATAACTCAATAGTGTCTTTAGAAAGTACATTTTTATTTACATTCATCACATTTTTACATATGAAAATACTTTGCAAAATTTATCATGTATTCTAATTCAATATAAGATTTATTATCGATCGTATTTAAAACCCTCCAGTCATCGTTTGTACAGTATGTTGACTCATCTCGCTCTGTGCAAAACAAACAGAAAAATAAATAAAATAATACGGTTTGATCAAGCGTGAATCAATAATGTAGGAGAAAGGTATACGTCGATTTATTATCTTTTATTAACGCAACCAGCGAATGTGTTTTTTTCTCTATATGTATACGACTGGATGTATATAATAAGAATAAAAAGGTGAGATTGCATGCACACACATGGGAACGATAAAAACAAAGTAAAATGTATATGCGTCTTATTTTTTTTAATAATCGAATGATTTTATATTTTTGTATTTTTGAAAGTTTTTTTTCATATTTCTTATTTTTTTTACAACATCACTGAATAGAATACAATTCTTTTGTTGTTATAGATTCGCCGACAAATAACAATAGTAATATATCGCTACTGTTGATCGTATATTGTCTCTAACAAAAATATCATCATTTATTCAAAAAAGTTTACAATTTCAAAGCAGCACTAGCAAAATCTCACTTACTATTTTATTGTCACTCAGTTCGAGAATATATTCTGAGTAATAGAGTACAGTAAAATATAATCAGTGTCAATTGGAAACTTGCACTTTTTCTTCTTCATAAAATGATGTGGATTATCAAGCACATTCCTTGTTGTGTGTTTTCTCTGTGGGTGTTAGCTGTCTTTATTGGTTTTATATTTTATTTTTTGCCAAGACCCGTTGTTATTGGTAGTGGTATTATCGGTTTCGTCGATGACTCAGGTACATAGAAAAACAAACTGATATTACTGCATTAGTAAAGGAATATCTAAATGAGATTGTATTTAGTTGATAATCTTTCTTTAAATAAGTCATTTTTTTCGAACTGTTAGCACGGAAATTGATAGATCATGAGAACACTTGTTCGACGAATAAAGCTAATCTAAATATTCATCAAGGACTATTAGCTCAACAGTGTTTCACCTCAAAAACGATTCAAGTACTTGAAATATTTTCTTTATTTTCGTATATTATTATAGCATCGACGCTGGTGAATATTAGTTATAAGACGAACATACAAAACAATGGTTCACTGGTTGTTTCAGATCTGCCAGGACTTTCAGCACAGGTAACGATATATAAGTTTGTACGAAAGAATTGACATGATTTTTTTCTTCGAAGATTGCTCAACAATACAGTTGCTCGCATAATATGGTTCGAGTGTTTTCTGCAAGATTCATACAGAGTCTGATTATAACACGACGAAAGCGGCAAACGTAAGTCTTGCCATCTATCATCTACTCTCTTTATCTACTAATAATATTCAGACATAAAGGACAGTATGTGACGTTTTCATTCATTGTTATTTTCTAGTATAGAAAATCAATTTGAAATAAGGAAAAAAAGAACATATCAATCATCACGATTTATTCGTTAAGACTTGACTGAGAATAATGTTATAAAAATTTAAACTCCTGCATGATATGACTTCCTGAAGCATATCTAAAATACACAAATATTGTCATATCTTTTCTGTCTTCATCTATAAAAGGAGAACGATGCTTCGAAAATGTTTGTCTTTTCTGACTTAATTCTATATATCTATGCAATTAGACGATGACTAATAAGCTTATGAAGTAGACAAGAAGATATCACCTCCTATTAACATTGCATCTTTGTTTTAGAAAATTAGTCAATAATGATGCGAGCAACAACACCGTAAATCTTTTTCTGATTGTACTCAATATTACATATCCAACTAAATGCAATAGTGTTAAAGCGTGCAACGATCGTTTCGTTACTGGTATCGAGAATGCGATCAGAAGAGGGCCATCACAACTTGTTTTCCATGTAACATTTACTAGTGGCCTCACATCAGATGTCAAATTTGTTTTCGACGCACTAAATCCGACCATAATAACGGCATCAACCACTAGTGAGTATTAATTTATTATTTTAGATGAATGAGTATCTTTTGATAGTTATCTACTAGTAGCTAGGTCAGTGTTTGAATTTAGAAATGAAGCTAACGAATGGAGTTTCTATTTCTTTGGTCAAATAAAGAGACAGTCATATTGTGGGCAGTTTTTATTGTATTTGTGAAACAAAATTTTATCCACAATGAATTAAAATTAGAAATGCGGCATAAATCCCGTGAGTTTCAAGCTAACCAATTATGATAGAATGGAGAATAATCCTATTTTTTGCTCTACTTTTGAATTTCTTTTACGTTCGATTACCGTCAATAAACTCTCATATCTGTGAATCTAGCATGCAAAGCTTCTATTGATGTTAAAGTTACGGATACTACAACTATGAGTATAGCCATAACAGTAATGTGAATCATATCTCTTTCAATGTTTCAAAAATAGAAGATAAATTAGGGTCTCTTCAGTAATCAGCAATCACTTTATCTGCTGAATCTACCGCGTCTCTCATGAGAACTGTGGCATATCTCAAATTTCATGATATATGACAGCACTTGAACTTGAAATAGTATTTTGTACGAAGAACAATAGTTGATGTGTAAAAAATAATATAGACTACATTGAAAGAAAAAAACGATCAGATTCCATAGTTATTGAAAGGTGATAGCAAACAGCAAAAAAACACCTTTTCTTTCTAAATAATAAATTCATTGGGATTGCAGTGCAGTTTCTATGAGAGATTCTCAGTAGACGCCAATACAATACATTTTCTATTTGATATCAAGTCATTAGTATTCTTTTTGACAATTTATTTTTATCTTCATAGCAACAACAACAACTCTTACAACTACCACGAGTAGTACAACAAGTACTAGTACAACAACTACTAGCACTAACACTACGAATACTACAACAACTACCAGTACAACAACTTCCAGCACTAGCGCCACGAGTACTACAACAGTTATTAGTACAGCAACTAGCAGTACTACCATTACGAGTACTACAACAATTACCAGTACTACAACAATTACTAGCACTACAACAACTACCAGTACAACAACAATTACTAGCACTACAACAACTACCAGTACTACAACAATTACTAGTACAACAACAACTACCAGTACAACAACCACTACATCAACCGCTCCTGGTAAGTGTTGAAATTACAAAGTATGATACATAAATCTCTGTAAATATCTTAAAATTTCTTTCCTATTGTTATTAGTTTTGAAAGAGTGGATGTGAGTGTAAATGTTGGAATAAGGATAAAATACCCGCACCCTCTGTGATAAAGTTAGTCTATATCGACTTTTGAGCACCACAGTCTATTGTGAAGAAATTAGCTATAAATCGTTCAAGAAATGTCTTTTAGGATTATACTTCAGCAAATGTGAGAATTTTTTTTGTGTAATACACCAAAAGGTAGAGCATCAAAAGTGGAACAAACTGAGCTTTTTTTAAAAATATTGTATAACTTCTATCTAATAGAGTTAGTTGAAGTAGTTGTTAGGAAGAGCATACAGAGCGCAACAGAAAGTATTCGCCTCGTCACACATGCTAAAAAATAATTTTTATTTGCAATAGCTCTATGCAACACAACATACATGGCACAAACAACGTATGCAACTGGTACAGGCCCGTTCGGCTTGGCAGCGGTTGATGTCAATAACGACGGTAAACCTGACATTATTGTCACAAACGTGAATAGTAACAATGTTGGTGTTCTTCTCAACACCGGCAATGGTACGTTTACTGCACAAACAACTTACTTAACTGGCGCAAAGCCAAACAGTGTGGCAGTGGTAGATATAAATAATGACAGTAAACCAGATCTCATCGTCACAAACCTTAATAGTAACTATATCAATGTTCTCCTCAACATCGGCAACGGTACATTTACTGCCCAAACAACTTACCCTACGGGCGCCGGTCCATATGATGTAGAAGTGATTGATGTTAACAACGACAACAAACCCGACATTATTGTTGCAAATGCTAATGGTAATAGCGTTGGTGTTCTCCTTAACATTGGCAACGGTACATTCGCTCCACAAACAACTTACTCAACTGGCAGTACCCCGTACTCTCTGTCGGTAGTCGACGTTAATAACGACAGCGAACCAGACATTATTGCTATAAACTCTAATAGTAACTACGTCAGTGTTCTTCTTAACATTGGCAACGGTACATTTACTCCACAAACAACTTATTCAGCTGGCACCAATCCGTACGGTTTGGCAGTAGCCGATATTAATAGCGATAGCAAACCGGACATTATTGTTGCAAACTCTGGTAGTAACAACGTCAGTGTTCTTCTCAACACAGGAAATGGCACGTTTACTGCACAAACAACGTACTCAACTGGATCCCTTCCGCTGAATGTGGTAGTGCGCGATGTTAATAACGACGGCAAATCCGACATTATTGTCGTGAACTATAATAGTAACAATGTCGGCGTTTTCTTCAATACAGGTAATGGTACGTTTACTACACAAACAACTTACACAACTGGCGCCAATCCACGAAATGTAGCCGTGGTCGATGTCAATAATGACGGGAAAATCGACATTATTGTTGCAAATCAAGGAAGTAGCAATGTCGGTATTTTATTGGCCTGCTAAAATTAATTCATAAACTTAATTTTATTTATTTAATAACATTTCATTCGTAAATTGAGTATATTACTTATTAATCAATGTATCTTTTAGAAGAGGCAGATTGTCAATCTATATTTTATAAAAATCTTTTTTCACTATTCCGCATTGAAGAGTATGATGGGTAGATATGAAGTAAATGTGAATACTATCACTGCCCAACATCCATCCTCAAGATGTTCATGTCAATATTTCGAAATATGAAACTAAATCTCAGCAGATAATTGATCAATCAAGGAGTGAATGTAGATAATATGATAATATCCACACCCACACCCTTTCCGCTGTTGTATGAAAGCAATTTTTTAACGAAATGCAGAATAATGGGACTGCAGTACAATTTACAAGACCACAGGACGATCAGCTTCAGCCTTATTGAAGAATCTCTTCCGATCGATTAAGTATAAACAGATGTCGGCGAAGGTAGGTGGTATGAATGAGAGTTTAGAAATAATTACCCACACCCTCAATAAATAATGAAAATAAAAGACGTGCGCAATTTATGTAGACTAGAAGAGACAGGAAAATATATCAAGTCTTGTCTCTTCGTAGAAGCAACTGTATTTGAACAAACACCCAACTAAAATCTAAAATAAACAACAATATCTTACTCTCTCTTTACAATTATTTGTTTTTGACGTCTCGTCGGTGAGTCGATGGCTTCTAATAGTTTATTCTCATTTTTCATTCATTATTTTATTTTCCTCTCTTGAGTAATTGATCTTTGTTCTTGGGGAATCTTTCATTACTATATCTTGTTTTGATCTTTTGCTTATTATTATTCATTGACATATTTATTTGTTATTGATTATATAGTTATATTTATTGAAATATTATTAAAGCGCTTTGTGATTGATCTCAGTTTCAATATAAAAGAAAGTTGAATAGTGGTGAAAAAAGAATCAGAGATTGTTTTTTTTAGTTAATTAAGCATAAGCAAAAGCCATATTTACAGCATTTTTATTGCAAGCAAAGAAGTTTTGCAGCGAGTACTTGAAACCTTTTTTTTTAAATGAATGTTAAGGAAAATCATTGGCGAGCAGATTTGCTTGGCTTGACAGCTAAAGTCAGCAACAAGCACATGTGTTAAACAGAATACCGACACTGATTCCATATTTATCGTTAACGATAATGTCTATTCGGCCATCGCTATTGAAATCACCGACATTGATATATCTCGGAAAAATATTCCCAGTCTCAACTGTGATTGGTTCTCCAAAACTTCCATTGCCATATCCAAGGCAAACAATTACACCATACAACCAAGGACGTAAGTAATAGGCGTCAGGTTGAACCGTGGTAACAATATCCAAGTGACCATCACCGTTGAAGTCACCGGCAGCGAATAATGCTGGTGGAAAATTAGGTCCCGTCGTAGATGTTATTTGTGCTTGAAAATCCCCATTACCTTTTCCAAGAAGTACGCCAATATTGTGATTTCCTGTGTTCGTCACGACGATGTCTAGATAACCATCATCGTTAAAATCATTCGCAGCGATTGTATGTGGAAAACTGTAGAGTCCTGTCGAGAACGTCATCGACGCATCGAAACTTCCAGTCCCATTCCCCAGCATTACAACCACTTGGTAGTCAGTAGTCATGCTGATAGCAATGTCCTGTTTACCGTCGCCGTTAAAATCAGCAATAAGAATCGTTGGAAAACACGTACGATTTAGCTGCCAAAGTGTCGTTTCGGATGTAAAATCTCCATTCCCATATCCAAACAGTGTTGTTATCGTACATTGATAACCATAGGCGACAACGACATCGATGATACCGTCGTTGTTTAAATCGCCTACAGCGGTAGAGAGTGCTGTACTTGAAGCTTTTGCATCTAAAATCGAGTTTGATAACATTGTCGTTCCTGCGAAAGTTCCATTGCCACTTCCAAGTAGGATAACTACATGGTATTTGTACACGCTGTAAGCAGCGATATCCACGTGACCGTCATTGTTGAAATCAGCGACAGTGAGATATTGCAGAATATCGGGAAAAAGAAAATCGTCATAAGAAAGACCGTAATAAGCAAGATCGTAAGCAAGCTCGGCATAAGAAACATCGTAATAAGCCAGATAATAAGAAAGAGTCGTCGGACCCATTATTGGTTGTTTGAAAGTCTCATTACCGTTTCCAAGAAACACTTCCATAACATGTGTGCTAAACAATGAGACCGCGAAATCTAATAAACCGTCACTATCAAAATCACTGACAGCGAGTGCGTATGAGCTGTCAGTGCTAGTTGCATATGAAACAATTGGTTGAAATGTTAACTGGCAAGTTGATACTAAAAAACAGAAAGCAATTCCGTTGGTTTTAACATCCAACTCGGAAACATTTAGGAGTCATTTTATACACGTCCAATGTATGTTGTACACTAGCTTTTGTAGCTTTTTATACTTGTACACATGTGTAGATGCTGATTTTTAGTGCAGACGTCCAATCAACTATTTCGGAAGTGATTCATTTCAGTAAATGTGAAAGATACAATAGTTCGATCATTTTTTATAGATCTGATTGAAAAATATCAAAATCGTGACTTAATATTGAAATTATTTTTATGAGAACTTTTGAAAGTACTTGTTATTTCAAGAATTCGATGAACGCAATCGGTAGCTTTGCTCAGAAAAAATTCCAATCCGAACAGTTAGATCACTCATTTTCTAAAGATACGAACCAATGAAGATCGAAAATATATTCGAACATATTTTTCCTTTTGTTTTTATAATAAAGTGAAGACGTCAAATTTCTCTTATACTTTTATTTCATTTATTTCGAGTAATCTTAGCAGAATCGATTGTGGTTAAAAATCTTAAGGATATAGATAGATTTCACAGTTTCTATATGATGAGTGCTTACTGGAGCAAATAGATTTTGAAGATCAAATGTTGATATATTAAATTATCGAATAAATATCTTAACAAGCTAAAGTACTATGTTATTCAACGTAAGATTACGCCAGTTGTTCTTAATAATAACATTTGATCATACTAAAAACTAATTTTGAAAGAGTTTTTATCATTTTAAAACATTGTCCTAGTATATCTTCATCGGCTCAAGTATTGATAGATAGTATTCAGACCAAGAACTAATTCGAGTGCTTAATACATTTCTTCGTACAACTTGCGTTTAAAACAAATAATTGTTCAAATATTAAAGAAACATTAACTAAATAATACTTTCTCCAAATATCGGAATTTTCAAGAGTATACTATGAAATGATCATTAATTAAAATCTTCTAGTAAGACGTTGGTATAAAAAGCAGAATATTTAAAAACAAAAGTATAATCTTCAAGAGTATCTTTAAAACTTGAATTCTTCGAATTTTCATGTTACGGGAAATAATCATAGAATTTCGATGTACAGACCTGTTGAAATAGATAATGTTGTTGTCGCAGTTGTTGTCATGTTCTTGCCAGTGCTAGTTGTTATGCTCATATTTGTAAAGTTTGTCGCAGTCGTTGGAAGATCTAGGAAAAATATTTGACAAAGATTCATTTAAATGCAAAACAAATGAGAAGATCATCATAACACGAAGTTATCACAAATATTAGTTTGCTTTTATTAGTTATGAACAGCGCAGTGAGTCTAATTAAAATAATAATAATAATACACAGAAAATATATACAAAAAAGACTCAACCAATAGATAAATGAACTGTTGACACAATTCTGTCTGTAAACCTCAAGTTAAGAAAACGCATTTTCTTGTCTAAAAGCTGTTCGATTGAATTAAAATTATAATTTTATTAGAAGATAAAAATATTTCTTTTATACAAGTCTATTAATCTTCTAAAGGATACATAAAAATCTGCAAGAGTTTTGGTTCATAAGGATTTTCGAAATATTTTGATGACTTCAATAAATATCTATGAAAAAGTATCTTGTATAGATTATTAAAACTTTTGATAGTCTCAAAAAATTATCTGTAGGCTTGGAAGGTTTTTACAATAATTCTATGTTCAAAAGAAATGACATTGTGTCAGGTCAGAAATTATTGATTTGAACATGATTTTTTTGAAAATGTATAGAAGCTGCTCATAGAATTGATCGATTAATGACACTGACATTTTATGTATAAGAATTTTATTTTATATCAACTTTCACTTTGTTATATCGAAATAAAAAGCTCTAAAAGATAATTTAGATAAATAAAGATTTATTTTACAAATAAAAATGTTTAAGTACGATCAAAAATATCTAATCTAACTCTTATTCATGTATAATGTTAAATGAATAAATGCATATTTTATTTTAACAATAAAAAACAAATTTCACATTATCAATATAAAAATAATTAGAGTCAACTGTGAATAAATCTATTAGTACCCGACCACTTTCTCAAAGTTTTTTTCGAAGTACTTAAATGGAGAATGAATAAAAAACGGCTTGGAATAAAAACACTTCTGGACTTTATCCTTCGGAAAACTCAGTTTTTTAACAGAGAGGGAAGGGAGAATGAGATACTTTAACTATTTAAATCAGATTTTATCTTGTTCTCTCATGTGTGATATTGTTTTCTCTCTAATATCACCAATTCCTCTTTTGTTCTTAATCTCTCTCTCACAAATATTTTACCTGTTGAAACAATTTGGGTCTTCCCTTGTCGAATAAAATAAAACGAGATAATAATCATGATCACTGCTGCAATCATAAGTAATATAAACCAAAAAGCACTCTTCAGCCAGCGCAGTAACGACGAGAGACGACGGCTTCTAAAAAAATAATAGTATAGATTATGATTGATATCGAAGAAAAAGATACATACTCAGTTGTTGTAGTAATGGGTACTAGTTTTAAATTAATATTGACCCCTTGAACGTTAGTGGGATCAGATATTGTATTAATAGTCGCCGTGGTTGTCATATCAATAGAATTTATAGGTTGAACTGTGTTTGTCTGCTTCTTCTTTCGACATTTATTTATTTTAATTATAAGACGAACTATCCAAGGACAAAGCAACTTGAGGACAATTGTGAGACCACCGTAGATACTAATTAGTAAAGTGATTGTGTAAATTGAGTTAATCTGTTGAATGTATGTATATAAACATAGTGACGGTGAACATTTTTCAAAGTACGATGAATAATTGATGTTGATAGACCAATCGTTGACAAAAAGAGTATTGACAAGATCTCTAACGGTTGTATTAATTAAGACTTGACTACTATTCGACAAGAGAGGAATAATAGTCTTTAGAGTATTATTCTGATTAGTATAGTTTGCGTATTTTTGGATAAGATTTATACATGAAGAATCGTAGAAACATTCGAGAGTTGAACCAAGAAATGATTCACTTGGTGTACAGCCCATTTTTAGGCCTTTGATTGGAATGATTTCTGTTGAATTACTATTCATGAAACTTGCGTGGGTCGTACAGGTTGCATCTAACCCACAAGAACATCCATTATCATAAATCATGGCTTGGGTAAATGCAATGTTGGCAATTCTATTAGTCAAAGGAATCATGTATTTAAAGTTGTTTCCATAGGCAGATACAAATGCATTTCCATGGTTTGCTGCTCGTAGTAAGGATAGAAGACGAGCGAACATAATGGGCGCATTCGATTGACTCTCTTCAATGAGCAAATTGATTTCGAGACGGAACACTGTTTCTGGTATAATTTGAGCACTAGCCAATGTAGATGAAAGGAATTGATCAACAGAATCGTTTATTGTTTGAATAGAAAGTTGGCATAAACCACTAAGTAATTGTAAATGCGCTGAAAGGAAACGACGATAGTCCCTGATATCATAAATAGATAGATCAGGAATAAGATTAGCTGTGAGATTCTCACGCCATTCATTCGAAGCGAATGTACTTGAACAGATCTATAAAAAAATTCAATATTAATTAAGGGATATTTCCTTAAATCGGCTTGTGTGGCCATTGAATAACTCCCATTTTCAATTTCTATTTAAACTAAATTAAAATTCCTGTTTAACCCTTTCGGAAGGGGTTATCATTATAGTGACTATATTTCCATCCGAAAGAGTTCAGCCATATGGATACATACTATTTATTTATTGTTCTAACTAATATTACTCTAGTCTTGGGAAAGAATGACGTCCATTTATGCTGTAGTCGTCCCGAAAAGGTCCATAAATCTAACCACAAAAAAATTGACTGACTTGAGCTAATTCCGTCCTAAAAGGGTTAATTAATCAAAAAAAGATACGGTCGAAAATTGGCTCTTATTTATTTCTTTTTCTGAATAACTATCACACAGATTTAGCTATCGAATAACGATTTTCTAAAAAACGAGAGGATGATAAATGGCATATCTTCTTTTATAAACAGTGTAATTTTACATTTTCTACATTTTCACATCTATGTGTTTTTGTCATCTATATTGAACAAATTCAAATAATATTCTCTTCTTACCGGATGAAATATGGGTTCAAGCTGCACATATTGATTATATGTTGATGAAATTGATGAACACTGACATTGCAGTGTATCACCGTGATCTTTTGCAAGACCATTGTAAACATTAAAGGATGGTTTATCAAATGTCTTCTTCAGAATTTGAGGTTGAATAATAGTATAGATTACGATAATAGAAAAACTAATAATGAGCAGGATAATATAAAGTCGAGTGTTCCATTGACCAAGACGTTTGGCCCTCGCTCGATTGGTATTATCTCCGAAAATCGATAGAGGAAATATATTTAAATTGATCAAATTAGTATAGACAATTCTAGGTAGTTTCTGCAATAAGATTTTCAATCGAACAAACCATTTCAGATGAACTAAATACAAAAAGAATCAATATCATGTTATTTTTATGAAGAAATTGTTCCAATCCTTAGACTATTCAACAAAGTAGTTTCACACTTTGCCAAGTTATACAAAAACAGCACATAGGGTAACTAAATAGGATACGACTGGCCTCTGTTCTTGTATCGATATATGGTATATATAGAGATTTTCGCTCTGACTCTATTTTCTTAGAAAACATTAAGGTCTCATATTTAGTCTAGAATTAGATTGAGGGGGTAAGCGGGTGGATGATGGTGTGGGTGTGAGTATGAATAGGAAGAATAAGCGCCTACATATCCATATCCTCACCCACACCCTTCGTCAAGATCTTAAATATATCTCAGCCTTATAAAAGATATCAATGTATTATTTTATTGAAGACATTTAACTAACGATTACCTTGATTTTCTTCTCTAACTTTTGGTGTAAATAAGCCATAGATAAAGTTAACAACTGGAGGTATGATTAACCGTAATGCAGCCATAAGACCACCGATCATAGATATCATAATTATTAATATCCCAACAAAATTATTTGTATGAACCGAATCAGAATAAGTACAATAGGCGGGTGCACATGCTTTCCAATAAAGATCATATGAATATACAAAATTCCACTGGTCGACCATAACTGCTTGAACTATCGTTGAGATTGTAGTTTTTGGTGGAAAACGGCTCGATGCTTGATCATAAATGAGAGGAGGAATTCCACCGATAATCGATACGCTAATATGAAAAGAGAAGATTATTTATGTATAGTTGTATCAAAATTGGAACTATTTTTTGTGAGATTTATACAGAAATTACTTTCAGAAATCATCTTTTAATTTTCCGTTGATTTGAAAATATTCTATCGATTGATATTTTGATTTCAAACAGATCTCGGCTATTTATATACAATATTCTATTGAATTTTCTTCTTTATGATCATCTATTTGATACTGTTTCATTTTGATTTCTTTAATCTTTTCATGTATGACGTATATCTTTCTATAGAAATCTTTTCAATATAGTCAATTTATTTTATTTCTATGGGAAGATGATTTAGTTTTAATTTGATAGTTTGTAATTTTTCTGTATTTACTTTTATTGTTAATATTATGATTTTAATACCGATATTGTTTTCATCAGACAAAGAATAAGACAGTCATACTGGTGTAAGAACCAACTAATTGTCCTCTTTCTCAGTTCGCTATCAAAACTGGAAACAAGAAAGACAATAACAGAATAGAACCGAAAAAAGAAAATCACTTTTATGTAAAAATAACACCGTAGTACTTATGTCATTGTTATTCTGTGTATGATGAAGACACAATTATTGTCGAAATATCACTACTTACAATAAAGATAATACTAAAAAGAATAAAAATCATCAAATTAAGATATGATTAAGGCTATTTTTCTACAATTTTAAGTTCTATCATATGTCATAGAACAAAACCTTCGTTCAAAACAATAGTAAGATCTGAAAGAAGGTCTCAGATAAATCTGACAGGGACAGGAATGTATAACAAGTTTTGTGGTATGAGAATCAGTATATCGGCATTGTCTTAAATAGATTTTGAAATATGTGAAAGCTTATGAAATAATAGATAGAATATATCAGAATCTAATTAAATAAGATTATATAATTTTAAAACTGATATTAAGACGAATTTTATATAGATATACAACAAATATTTCAACAATCAGATAGAAAAATTCTATATGTCTCGTCAGAATTTTCTAGAAAGATGTTTCAAATGTAACTAAATCGATAATAAAACTTAATATAGCAGAATAATATCTATTATAAAAAAGGAACATATTTTCAGGCGAACTCAACTGAACTTTTCCTAATATTGATTCTATTTTGCCAACTTACAACTCTGTGCTGAAACCTGTGTAATACAGTAACATTGCCAAGCAATTCGAGTCCGAATAGAAGCATTCGAGTGTCGACGAAAAAACAGAGTCGACTACAGAACAACCTAAAACCAAACCTGGCATTGTATAGGCCGGAACTAAATAGATATCGCTGGTAAACCAATGAAATTCATATAATAGCAGTGGTTGTAGACAATTAGGATTAGTAGCACAAATACATTGGCTGTGTGTTATACTATCATCAGAGTATGCACCCAGTAATGTTGAATTGATATACGGTAAACCATCGAAAAGAAATGTACCCTGAAAGCAAAAGGAAAATCCATGTTTCATCAACAATCAATCTTGTAAAAACCTTACTTCTCAATCCAAAAAAAGAAAGGTGTCCAACAACACACTCTGTGCTTGAATATTTTTTATACAAGAAATATGAAAATGTGTAATTCTAGTCGGTAAAGTTAAAATATGAAACATAAGTCGATGATAATTTTTCTGCCTATATTTGTCTCTACATTCATTTTTATAGCATTCAGCTGTCTGCCTCTATTCATGTTAAATATTCACGATTGACAATGATCGCAGACGATAAAACTTGGCGATAAAAGAAGTCCGTATACAATATTCTCTAAGTAATCGTACGTACAAATTAATACAGTTATTATATAAGATCGTATTTATACTTGAATAAAATATCTCAAATTTGTACTTTCTGAAAATGATATTTGTTGCTACATTTAATGAGTCAAGGATGTAAATAATCTTTTTCCTTCCTACCAAATAGCAGTCCAGTGGACTATTATTTTGTAGTGGAAGTCAAAAATTCAGAGTTAGATATTTATTATGATCAACTTTTTTCTTGTGTTGTAGATATGGTTTTATTTGTTTCTAAGCACAGAAATACACTAAATTTGATAACTTCAAGTTTTCAAACTGTCGGAGAACTTCGACAAAAGCTATGATAACTATCTACAAATCGAAAATTCACTTCAATACTTGTATAGTCTCATGTTATCAGATAATCTGCATCTGAGTAATTTAAAAAAAAACAAATAAATTTTCAGAGAATAACAACAAAGTACATAAAAAATAGAGCGTCAATGAGAAAATAAATAAAAAATAAAAATTTCTATTTGAACTACAGAGATAAATCCAAGAGATCTTTTCTCTGACGATCGATTACTCTTGGAAAGCCGCTTTAATATTTTATGGAGTTTTTACTTTATTTACTTTGTATTAATATAATAAAGCTAAAAGTGATATGTGAATTACACAAATCAACTCCATAGAGGCTATTCTGACAAAATTTTTCGTTTTATTTCTAATGTTTTTCTTTTATTCTCTTCTACTGATGCCGCACGTGATAGTCAATCAGTCACTCTTACGCTTTTTTTATTCTTCTTTATCATTTTTCCATAGTAATTGTTCTAATTTCGTTGTCCTTAACAAAAAATAGAAAAAACGCTGAACTTCTACAAATATCATTCGAAATGAAAGAAGTTATCTGACTTAATCTCTTCAGTAAACTTCGAGCAAAATATTGTTTTCTGTTTCTACTGAATAGATACCTGCAATGTTTGCTGACCATTCGTTCCATTTATCATGTTTCCTAAGATTATTTCTGCACTCGTGATGGTTATTTGCCCTATTTCGTGGATCGAAAAAGGTTGATCAACTTGTGTGAGAAGACGTTGAAGATCGACAAGACTACGATAATCGGTGACTGTTGTTTGATTGAATTGAGTGAAAATTACATCTAATTGAGTATTGAAATCGATTTCAGTAAGTAAATTTGAAGTGACAAACGATCGCATATTAAACTGATGGATAGCATTATTGATAGTGCTATTAGCCATTTGACAGAGTTTTAACAACAATGTAAATTGGAAAGGTGCTTGGAAACGCCAATCTGTGTAAAGCATCTCAGTAGTCATTGAGGAAAACAGTGAAATGACATCATCTGTGATAAAACCGCTTGAACACACTTGATGAAAGGTTGGAGTCAAATTGGCAATTGTAGAATATGACATTGCCATGTCTGAACAAGGACATTTGAGTGTAGTTGGATACAATGTTTGTAAATGGTTATAAGTAGCGAAAGATGGATTTGATACACTTATTGTAACAGTTTGAGTATTGAGTGAATTGAATAAAAGAAGTATTAGAAACAAGACTAAGAAAGAAAATATAGAAATAAATACATAAATACAAGTAAGACTTAAATTGATTTCTATCAAATAAAAATTCATTAATAGATTATAAGACTTGAGAAAAAACTACGAAAAACTGGAATTATATTAGGATACGTATTGAATTGAAAATTAACTTTAATTTGTTGAATATTTTTTATATAAAGAAATTTTTCTAAATAATACATTATTTATATATTCAAATAAGAGAATATTCAATGATCTTCTCAAACGAAATTAACTCATTGTGCCATCTTTATCTTTAAATTCACTTTCTCGATCAATTCATCTGGATCATTAGAAAGTTTTGACAGTATTCTCTTATTTTGAACAGGGAGAAACGACGGAACTAGAACTCACGCAACATCTACAGTTTGCTAGTCAAACAAAAATTAATCATGAATTCTGGAAGTGAAGTAAAAAAAAACATGAAAGTCGTATAGAATTCATATGTATCTCGAATCTGTAGAATCTGTTTTTACGTTTGATCCCATTTCGAAGAGCTCAATATGTTGGAAAATCAGATTAGAATGAATATTTATAAAGAATAATAAGTGACACTCTATGAAACTGATCACCTATTGGGTGTTTGTTGAGTATTTTTACTATTTCACGATTAGAAAACTTTCAGATCAATGTGAGTATCTCTTATCAACATCTATTTTTTGATTTCCAAGGATGTAAAGAAATAAATCAATGCTATAGATGACTGCATATATGATTAGATTACATCATGAAATTGTACTGGAAATAACATTTTCATCAATTGGAATCAAATATTTTCAAAACTGCCTCATCATCAGAGTACTATTCTAGTTATTTATTCAATCGCATTCTATGCAGAATTCTGTTCATTATCGTACAATTTCATTTATTTTCTGTATTATAAAAAGGCTATAGAGTTGACTCTTAACACTACAATCTAAAGTATATTTTACGTTCTCTTATGGATGCGTTTAATATTAGGCTAAGCTAAGACATAATACGTTTCTATTGTATTTAGGAAAAATTGTACAAAATGAAAAGTTCTTAATAATATCAATGATAAAATTTAGTCTATTCTATTGAAACTTGAATAGTTATGAATGAGTCAAGTGAGAGTTAAAGTAATCTCCGAATCTTCATCGATATGTTGAATGGCAAATCCAATTTTTTCCTATAATTACACGCAGACTAAGTTTTCTTATTCTCTACGATAGTTGAGGATTTAATTTTCACATATGCAGATGTTATAATATTATTCAGATATAAAATTCTTTTTAATCTATTACTTATTGATCAATAGGGAAAGATTCTAAGATAATTGATCTCATGTTGTACATTTGATTGACTTATCTTTTATATAAAAATATAAATGCAAGTTATCTTTAAAAAGTTGTTCTTTTTCTTTTCTATTGACATACGACGTTATTGTTTAATATAAGTGTTTAGCAAATCTAGACTATTCGTCTAGCTATGAACGAACGTCTCAATAATGTTCATCATTATTAATTATTTTAGTTCAAAACCATTCTATACTGATGAATAATAATCAACAAATATTCTTAGGCAAAAAAATTGCGAAAAATAATTATAATAATGATCATTTTCATATTTATGTCATCTATTCAATTATGAGAATTAACCGTTGTTTATCTCATAATTCTGTAGTTATTCTCAAACTATCTTGATATACTCATCTGTGATTCTGTAAAACAATAAAGATTTGTACAGTAAAAGTAATCATACCTGCAAACAAGATCAAATATATGCGTGTCATCATTCGCTGTTTTTTGAGAGTGTTTTCTGTTCGATCATCAACCGATTTAAACAGATTCATTTGCTTTGCCCATATATTGAATTTACGGATACGTGCCGTAAAATTTACTACAATATAAAAATGGAAAACGGATTTTGAACAAAAATCTTTTTTTCTTTTAATAAAATATTACTGGACTCATTATTGGTGTTTGTTGAACAAATTTTTATTTTTGATGCAACATTAACCATTGAACTTGCGATAAAACGAAGCAGGATAATAAGACCACCATACAAACTAAGTAAGAGACTAATTGTATAAGAAAAATTGGTCCGATCTGTTATGCTGTATGTGCAAAATGAAGGAGCACACTCAGTAACATATTGAGAATAATTGATCTGTGTTAACCATTGGTCTATAAACACATTAGATAATCGATCGTTCACAGAAACATTTTTTTGACTTAAAGGTAGAACAGATCTTGTCCAATTCAAATTTGTCTAAACAGAAATAGTTTGTAAGATAGATAAGATTATGTCATACACACTTGATTCAAAACTGGAAAATATTTGAGGAGTGCTTTAAAACAACTGCCATCGTATAAACAATCGAGTGTACTTGCAAGGAGAGCGTCCAGTGGATAACATCCACTAAAGAATCCGCTGACTATTTCGGAAGTATTCGAGAAATTTTGAGAACCATCATAGCCATTAGCGAAGTCCAAAGGATTTACGTATGAAATCGAATAAAAACCAGCTGGAAATTTTATACTTTCTGTTTCACAGGAAGGACCACTGTTCGAAAGTCTTTGAAAGTAGAATACTGTATCATAGTTACCGGTTAATAAACCGATAGATAAGTAAAATGCTGTATTGAGAGCCGACATCAAACCATTTGATTGAGTTGTCATTTGTAGAAACTGTAGGATCGAGGTGAGTTGACTCTGTAAATTGTTCTGAATAACTTTAATGGTCGAATTCACTTGAGATTGAACTTGATCTTCTGAAAGGAGTTGAATACTGATCAGCTGACTATTATCAATATTAGCTATGCTCTGAGAAATTGTATCATTCGAGAATGAACAAAGAGCAGCGAGAAGTTCAAACTAAACGAAAATATAAATAATAACTTTTAATTATGTCATAGAGAAGTAGACGGATGATCATCTTGAGGGTGAGGGCGTGGCTGCGAATGTGTTGATGAGTATTAATGTACGATAATTTTTATAATATTCAGTCGAGACAGAAATGTTAAAGATCGCATTCTTATGTTTTAGAATTTTACTGTAGTACAACTTCTTGTATTACAGACAATAAGAAATATCTCTTTGCAAAAAATATTCACTTACTTGAGAGTTGGCAGTCGCTCTGAAATCAAACGCTATGTACACACTTGCATTTGTTAAGTAGAGTGCTTCAATCCATTGCTGACTAGTAAAAATACTCGTACAAACAGGATCAAATGAGACTATATTAGAAACAAAAGCCTTATACGGTACACTAATTGTCGAACAAGGACACGACAGATCTTGACTATAATCCGAACGGAGATGATCAAAGAGAGTTGGAGTGATATCTGAGACGGTAATCAGTCGAGTTTGCGGATTCATCACAGTAGCCATAATAAGAACATAAAATGCCACTAAAAATAAAGAAGTAAATGAAAAATCCTGAATATTCTTAGAAATACTCTTTTTTTTCTCTATTTTATATTACTTGTTTTGATATACAGTTCATTTTAAAAAGTATGAGCTTATGTTTATCCAAGTCAAAGGACATATTTATTCTGACAGCATGTGAGAAATAACATAGAATCAAATCATGCATACATATACAGTAGATGATTAGTGGCAGACCATAACCTTCTTCTTTTATTCATGAGTAATTTATAATTTTATTTTGTGATTTGAAGAATGAATGATATATTTTACTGTATTAATTATATACGAAGAGAACAAAAATAAGTTTTTACGATTCCTATCATCAAAATCACCTACATATAGGAGAGCTTTTCAAGATAACTTAACATATTCGAAGACTATTTGTATCCAAAACATTTTTCTATTATTCTTCACTCAATGATATTGAAAGATAAAGTTAAAAATGAGCGCCATCATCTGTTAGTGAGGGTCAGTTTCGTCTAGTGAATCTAGTTATATTTTTACTCATATATCAACCATATACAAAGTCTGCTATATATTTGTTTTTCTGACTACTCTGCATGTCTACTCTTTCGCTGCGATTAGGGATGTGGGTGTGAGTTTGTAGATATTCATCTCTCGATCACACCTATACCTTGTAGATACATGTCAATACATGTATACCTGAAATTTTGGTATTTTAGGATGTACATGCATTAACAGTAATTCATGAATTCTTAAACCATAGATTTTTTTTGAGTACGACTTGTATCTGGATTCTGGAATATCTCTCAAGCCTCGAATTTTTAATATTAACAATCTATTAAAGATGTAATTTATTCAAGATCGATGAAAAGCTAAAGAGAATGTTGGAACTGATTTGGCTCAAGTCAAGATCAGGAAAAGAGTAAACAATATCTTTTATATTTTTCTTATTTCTTTTCACGAGATGCAAGGCTCTCAGATAAGATAAATTTACGTGTAAAGTATTATTGTAATAACAGTCGACAACGGTAATATCGAGTAGGAATGAAATCGCCTACAGCGTTTGCTTTCTGAAAGTCTGACTGATAAATCAGTCATAAATGCACATTCTTGTATATTTACAACAAACAAATTCACTTTACTTACCGATGAAGAGAATGACATATAACCGAGTGGCATATCGTTGATGTTGAATAATTTTTTCTCGATCTCTTGGTTCATCATCATCATCACCATATTCTCCTTCTTCATGTGCGAAAACATTGTAAGTCCGTACTTGTTCAAGAAGCTCTTGAACACCAGCTTTCAAATTCATCGCAAGAACTGAAATATATAGAAAAATATATCAACACGTTTGCTAAACCCAACATCAGTCACTTTCAACGTAATTCAGAAAGCAGATGTTACTGAATCACTCTATCAGATCATAGACCGCTATGGGAGCTTCTTTTTATTTTATTTATTATTTTTCAAACTGCAGATGTATTTAAATATAGTCAAGGGCAAATAATTTTTGAACCTTTCTATTTAATATCCGTGATCGGAATCAATGTAATAGGAAACATTTTGTAATCGAAAAATGTTTGTAGGTCTCCCGAAGTTCCTGAACACCAACGATCTAACCTTGTCAAATGAATATCAAAATACTGAATACATTTGTTTTTATTTCCTAAATTGTTAGACTAGGGCTTGAAAACGAAAATTCATGGTTGTCTGTCTATTCCTCGTTACTATGATTCGCAATGACTGTGCTGTGTCCCACGACCGAAAAGCATCGATAAAATTACTCAATACCTGTCTGGTTAACACATTACTACTGTATAAATATAAATGTGTGTATACATAATTAATCAGTCAATTTGAGCATATAAGTATAATTAACAAAAACTCATATTTCATGAATAAAATGATTCATCTTTTAAATACAAATCGCACTCATTTAGTTAAATAAAATTCGTTTGGTTACTTAGTTGTATTAGCGGTATTTGTAGTTATAAAAAAAATGAATTCATAAACACATTGCCTTGATGTATAACGGCAATTGCACAAACTAATTTTTATGGTTGGTTATGGTATCTTACTCATATTTTCAGTTTTATCTACTATTGTCTTTCATTGATCTATACAAGTAAATGATAGTATATCCGTATGCTTATTTCATCAGTCTAAGATTGAGTGAATCCGAAGATGATGAATATTACTTTCTGTTTAAAATGTGCTTTAAATAGTAGTTTGAACTGATGATTCACTCAGATAAACCTCATGCATTTACGATAATTTAATGCATCTACAGTTTGAGGATTGAAAAATATAGTCAAAACGTTTTATTCGAGGATAATGAGTAGCCTTTTCGTGGATCCTGTCTTAGTTATTATTTTGTTTAGTTGAATTATGTTTGCCTTTGTACTTACTCGATTTGTAAGTTGGTCGACTTCTGTTTTCCGATGCAATTGAAGTGTAACCTTCTTCAAATTAAATTTATTTATAGAATGGCACCGACAAATTCGGATCAAGCCTAAAACAACATATCTAGAACAATAAGGAAAATAAAAGAATGGATACATGAGTAAAATGTTTGTTTCTATTGCTTGAGGGTGTGGGTGTGGATGGGTGTTGGAGCGGGTTGAGCGATTATAGGCACAAACACCCACACTCGTTTCACCATAACTTTTAAAGATCCCTTGATGAATCAAATCAGTGATCAATGACGTCTATCAAAGCAAATCCCAAAACTACCTAGATCGACGGCTACGATCTCCGTATAGCATTGTGAACGGCCGTATATTTACTGTATACACGTTGAAATCGTCCGTTTTGGCATTCGTCCTCGTCTATCTAATGCATCATGTGTCCATCTTAAACTCTCCAAGAAGCCTAAAACTTCCTCGAAATCCTCGCAAACGTCAGAAGGACCCATCAAGCGAGAACTGTGAGGACGTTCTAGGAAGTTTACGGAGGTTTTCACAATCTTTCTTCATCTAATGCATCACCGCCATTTAAAATAAACAAAATAAAATAAAATTACTAACTATTTATTGATTTGATCCATCTCTACGACGTAAAACAAAATAAAATATAACTTACTGTTTGCTGATATGATTCATGGTAACAAATCAAAGCAAGTATATGACAACAGAATAAACTAAATCAAAAAAGACCAGAAAAAAGAACTCACTGTTTCACAATATGATCCACTATAACAATCTAAAATAAGTAGAAGAGAATAGAATAAAATAAAATAAGATACAATACTCACTGTTTCCTGATATGATTCATAACAATAATTTAAAATAACTACAAGGTAATACAATAAAATAAAGAAAACTAAACTAAAATAAAATGAAATAAAGTACACTACTGAGTGTTATTTGATTTGACCCATTAACAGACCCTAAAACAAGTACAAGAGAATATAAAAAAATAAAAGAAAATAAACAAAAAGAATAAAAAATAAAGAAAACTAAAAAAAATAATATACATTACTCACCGTCTCCTGATATGGTTCAAGAAAACAATTTAAAATAGATAAAAGACAATAAAATAGAATAAACATAACTAAAAGAAATAAGATACAATACTCACTGTTTCCTTGTATGATCCATGACGACAATCTAAAATGAGTAAAAGACAAGACAATAAAATGAACAAAAATTAAAAATAAAAAAAATACAATAATTACCGTCTCCTAGCATGATTCATGAGAACAATCTAAAATAAGCAAAAGGGAATAGAATAAAATGAACAAAACTAAAAAAAACTAAAATACGATACGCATTGTTCCCTTATATGACTGATGAGAACAGGCTAAAATATATAAAAGACAACGTAATAAAATAAAATAAAACAAAGTACAATACTGAGTGTTTCCTGATATTACTTGTCGACGCAATCTAAAACATGTACAAGACAGTACGATAAAGTAAAATAAAATAAAATTACTAACTATTTATTGATTTGATCCATCTCTGCGACGTAAAACAAAATAAAATATAACTCACCGTTTGCTGATATGATCCATAGTAACAAATCAAAATAAGTATATACAATAGAATAAACTAAATCAAAAAAAATCAAGAAAGACCAAAAGAAAAAACTTACCGTTTCCCAATATGACCTACCATAACAATCTAAAATAAGTACAAAGTGTTAGAATACAATAAAACAAGCGAAAAACAAAAATTGAATACTCATCGTTTGCTGATATGATTTACGACAACTCTAAAATAAGTACCAACAAACAGAATAATGCAAAGCAGAATACTGGATGTTGCGTGATTTAATTCATCATAACAACCTAAAAGAAGTACAAGAAAATACACTAAAATAAAATAAACAAAACAAAATAATACTCACCCTTTCTCTATATAACTGAGGAGAACAATCAAAAATAAGTACATGATAATCCACTAAAATAAAATAAGATACAATACTCAATATTTCTTGATATTATCCATGGCAAAAGTCTAAAATAACTACACAATAATAGAATAAAATAAAAAAAATAAAATAAAATATTACTGTTTTCTGGTTTCATGGATAACCACAATCTAAAATAAGTAGAAGAGAATAGAATAAAATAAAATAAAATACAATACTCACTGTTGTCTGATATGATTCAAAGCAACAATCTAAAATAAGTACAAAACATTAGAATAAAAAAAATAGAAAAAACAAAAAAAAATAAATATAATACGATACGCAGTTCTGATTTCAGGGATCACCATAATCTAAAATAAGTAAAAGACAATAAAATAAAATAAACAAAACTAAAAGAAATAAAATACGATATTCATCCTTTCCGGACATGATCCGCGACAACAATCTAAAGTAAGTAAAAAACAATAGAATAAAATCAAGAAAAATAAAAAAATAAAATACAATACTCATCGTCTCCTGAAATGATCCATAACAACATTCTAATATAAGTACTAAATACCAAAATAAAATAAAATCAACAAAACTAAAAAGAAAAGAAAACACGATACGCACTGTCTTCTGATATGATTCATGACAACAATCTAATAAAACTAAAAGACAATACAATAATAGGAACAAAAATAAAAAAAAATATCATACTCAGTGTTTCCTAACACGACCCTTGACGACAATCTAATATGAATAAAAGACAATACAATAAAATGCAAAAGAAATAAAAATTAAAACACCATACTCACTGTTTCCTAATATAGTACATGACAACAATTTAATATAACTAAAAGACAATACAACTATATGAAGAAAACTGAAAACTAGAGTAGAATACTTATCTTTTGTTTATATGATGCGTGCAGCAATCTATTATGACTAAAAGACAATATATTAATAGGACGAAAAATAAAATATAAAATAGAATGTTTACCAGAGGTGTGCGGGTCACGGGTTTCGACCCGCGGGGGCCACGTGGCCACGTGGCGACGGGCGGGCGGAGATGGTTTTTTGAAAAATTTGCTCGGGTCGGGCGGGCTACGGGTATTGCAGACTAATCGGCGGGCTGGACGGGTACAAAAAAAAAATAAAATGATACGATCCTCGGGCGGGCGAGGATAATTTCCACGGGTTACGGGCGGGTAAAGAAATTTTTTGAGATATAATATAGGACCGTCGAGAATAATCGATAGATATGATTGACCGACAGTTACGCGCGGACATTTACGCGCATGACACTTACGCGTGCGACGGTTGAGCGTATAGACATTTGCGCGCGAATTGAGAAAAAGATGATAAAATATTTCTTTTAAATTTCGTTTGAATTATGAACGGGCAGAAATATATGCTTAACTGCTGATGAAAAAATTGTTCTTAATTTCAAAAAACATATTGATATAAATTACTAACAGAGATAAGTAGTATTTACTTACAATAAACAAACAAATACGCTAAGTGAACAATAATTGAGAATAAAGAATGTACTCGTTCAAAAATTAAATACTGATCTGGCTATTTTAAAATAGTCATTCCTAGAAACAGTATGATATTCTTCGACCATGTTTCGTATTCGAAGATCAATTTTTTCATATTTTATGCGTTGGTCTTTGCCTTTGACTGATTTTATAACAGACATTTATATCTTAGAAATTATTAAAATAATACGCACATATATATGTATAATTTCTCTTTATACTTTTATCTGATTTTTTTTTTAGTTTTAATCTCATTTTGATACAAAAAGCAAGTTTGATATTAAAACTAGATAATCTTTTGATTCTCATTAATATCTTCTATGTATTTTCTTAATAAACCAGTCTCACTAGCAGAACATTTTTATTTCTGATAATACATATGAGTAATTCAATCAGACGAGAACAGCACGCAAAGATTTTTTTTGCGCGCAAGCGTCGTGCGCGTTTATGTCTTGAGCGCATACGTCGTGCGCGTAACTGACGTGTCACGATTTTTTCTTATAATAAATCTCTTTATATGATAAATAAATTAAATATATAAGATAAACAATTTATTAAAATTTCAATCATTAACTGAAATATCTTCGGGGTAATACGGGCGGGGCGAGGCCCGTCAGAAAATTGACGGGGCGGGCGGGCTAGAAAAAAAAAGTAGACTACACGGGAGGCGGGCGGTGCGGGTTTTAAAATTTGACGGGCGGACGAGGCGGGGAAGAGTTATAAGAATTTGCCCACGAAGACGGGCGGGACGGATTTAACACGTTACACGGGGCGGGGCCCGCGGGGCATCAAAAATCATTGCCCCGCACACCTCTGATGTTTACTATTATGGAATATAGCTTATGAAAACAATCTAATAAGTAAATAATAAGTGAATAATATGAACAAAAATGAAAAGTAGAACACAATACTGAGCTTGTCTTTATAAGATCGAAGGCAACAATCCAATATGACTAAGAGTCAGTATTGTAAAATGATCAAAAATAAAAAATAATATGCAGTGTTCACTGTTTCCTAATATAGTACATGACAACAATCTAAAATTAGTAAAAGAGAATAAAATTAAATAAAGAAATCAAAAAAATGAAAATCTAATATTCAGTGTATTGTTCGGTATACCTACATGATATACGATCCGCATATATCTCCGTTTTTGTGCGTATGCGATAGTTTACGAGTGTGTGTTCCACCTAAGTATGTATAAACAAGTTTCTTTATATTTATAATAGTATCTTCTCTGAAAATTATTAACTCTCAATTTAAGAATCTAATTTTCTTCCAAACTTAGCCAGATCTTTAAAAACATTAGCAAAAAAAATTCAACAGATAGGACATATAGAGTAATGGCAGAACTAAAGTGAAGATTTACACTAAGTAATGGAATTCATCTATTGAAGGTATTCTCAATTGAATAATACTGTCAGATAATACTTTACTCTTCTGCGTAAAAAATCGAGTCGCTTCTCCGTTGACTTCGAATACACTAATGTTTATGGAGAAATAAAAGTGACTTCTCTCAAGAATATACTTACACCATCATGTATAAATGCGAGCAACGTTTATGTGAATTTAAAAGATTGAAGAATAGAAAATGCAGGTGACGTGCATGATATTGAAATAAAAAAAAAGAAAAAAGTCATTTCTAAAAACATGTTTTCACCAAATAGAGAAACCTTGATGGAGCACGGTTCAAGTAGCACAACAAAAGAAAGGACATCAAGACGATGTTGACGACAACAATTGATTAAAATCAACAAGAAAAATACTAATTTTGAACTGCCTTTTATAACTTTGAGATATTTCAAAGCTTCATCAAACTATCTAGGACAGCATTATCTAGTATTTGAACATCTTTCGTGAGAAATTAAATCGAGAAATGAAAAATGTATGTGAAATCATTTTTTGCATGTTACAATGGACGAATCAAAACTAGATAGAAGATTTTTGCTTCTCAGTTAATATATAGAATACTATTTTGTATGAAGACAATACATTTCAGAGAAATAATTTATGGAACATAGTTGAAAACATAGAACAAGATCTATCTCTATTGACAACAAATGAAAATCATTTAGAAAGCTCTGCAACTAATCAACACACAATCTCTTAAAAAGACAAAAAGAAAAAGTTTCGCTTCTGCGCACACTCGTTGTTAATATTAACCATTCCATCATTGGAAGGAATGCGCTCGAACGTATAGAAAACTCAAAATGGAGAAGTACGTCATTAACATGTTTTAGTTGATTATATAGACATATTTCTTCTTTACTGTTTTTTTTAAACATATAATTTATTGTTCTTAGATACTAACAAATGATAATAAACGCAGTAACAAATATAATGAATTTAGTTGGAAAAATATGTAATGAATAAAAAAAAATGCATAATAATAAGCATTCAGATAGTATATGATAATCAAATAAGTGGCATATATCAGTTGTTTACAATTTTATTTATTATTAGAAAACATATAGTGTTGTCGTTTAGATTTTCCTGTAAGAATAAGAAGATGAAAAAGAAAAGAAAAAAATAATAAATAAAAGAGATGGATTTTTATATATCTAATTCAGTCGAATGCTGGAGAAATGAAAAGTATTAATAGTTGCCATGTATTTTTCTTTTGTTTAGATTTCACTTTGTTTGTGAAAAGAAAAAAACATATACAGGTAGCTTCTCATATGCGAGCGTTGCGCCGATATTAATATCACTCTCTCGTTCATATATCGACATGTTCTTTTTTTTTCTTTTCCTTTCCTTCTTCTTTTGTTTCTTTTTGTTGGATATGACGATTGTATTAAGCAACACTTAAAGGCATTGTCCTTGCATTTTTCTTATGTTTGTTTATACAAAGAGAAAAGAATATTCATATTAGATATTCATTACATTCCATACAGGAAAAATCTCATTGTTTATTTCTTCAAAGTTAATAGTCATCTCAAGTGCATTTATCTCTATTACTTCTCTATGAAGATTTTTTGAAATAAACTAACGAGGAAACTTTACCAAGTGATACCCTCCTTTTAAGCTCATATTCTACCTATGAGTAGGACTCATACAGTAGAGAAAAATACCAAAAGAATTCGTCTCATTGCTGCTCCTGCAGCAGTGGATCATTGCAAAATCCGATCGGGAAATTGTTTCACTTTAAGGAGAAATGGTTCATCCCAACAAAAGCAATACATTTAAGGAAGAATGGAAACCGCGTAAACGACATCTATTTAATGCCTTATTCGGTAACATATGGATATCCTCATCTAAAGAGAAATCCTTTTTTTTTTAATTTCCATTTCTCAATACAAGTGAAGATATGAATGAATCATTTCATCTTTTTATTTATTGAATTCTGCTGGTAAAAATCCATATCTGCTAGAGTATCCTCTTAAAGTAGAAAAATAAAATGATTCATTTCTACTTTGATACGATATAGATATTTCGATTTCGATTTAAAGCGAAATGATGGAAAAGAAAAGATTATAAATAAATCGAAAAATAAAAAAAAACATTTTATTTTCTAGCATACAACTTGATAAGATAAATGGATATGTTTAAATATCTAATGGAAATCTTCGTAAAAAATTTGAACACGAAGCTTTAATTGTTAATCTCAAAATAAGAAATTTATTTCTTTTATTTTCATTCAGTAAAAATCAAGTATTAAATAAACATATCGACTTGAATAGGGGTGGGGTGGGTGTGATGGATATAATACCTACACCCACATCCTGCAATATCTTCAGAGATGTTTTGCGCTATCATATATCGGTAAAAAAACTTCAATTCTTTTGAAAGAAATTTATTTTTATGTCAACTTTCGATCTTTTGAGTATAGAAATAAATAAAAATCGATTATAAACGAGAAATACATATGCTATATTAGTGTTTGTTCGTATTCTTGTTATTTTCCTTCTTTTGTGGAGCTGACGTATTATTTTCGAAGAAAATAATGAGTGAATACGATGAACTATAGACATCCATTCACATCCTTTCTTAATCTTATTTTAGAATTTCTTATTTTATAAAGCTCTTTTTCTCTTTCGATCTCATTCTCTTCATTATACGAGAGAACAGAAGTAAACCACGTGAATATAATATAAACTGCAAGAGGAGAAGAAGGAAGAAGAAAAAACGGACAGGCAAGCGACATGTAAAGAAGAAATAGAAATACATGCCGTTGAAATTATCTGCATATTAATGTTCTTTCTTACACCATGATTATGAAACCAAACTGACGTGTGGAGTGGGAAAGATAAAAAATATCTGACGTATTGGGTTTTTTTACTAGGAAAAAAATACCCATTACTCGCCTGAAGAATATAAATAGTAGCATACAAAGAGAGTTCTTTCTTCAACGTATTCATTTAGAAAAGAATAAACAGAACAGAAAATAGTGGGAAAAAAACGGTAAGTTAGAGATATCTCTTCGAGTTGGAAGAATATTTTATAGGAGTAATTAATGTTTTTTTTTCATAGTTTTCAAAGATAATATGTCTGCCACAAATAATAAAGCTAAAGAGAAATCAAGACAACATGAAACTATACATGTAAGTAATTGAAAACTATATCAGAATACCGGTCTGCAAATTAAGTCTCTGTCTCTCTAGCAAGCAGTGAATCAACAAACAACTGCTCTTACATCGTTAGTATTGAATACATCGAAGGAGCAGAGTACAATTCCAAAATCAGTTCAAGCAGTAAGAATAACATCTCAACAAGATATGGCTGATGTCATTCATGTTAATCATTTTCCATGTTTATTTGCTCATGATTTGACCTTCTACCAGTACGATGCTATTGTTGAAGAATACCATGAAAAACAAAATAAATACATTAGTCTCAGCAGTCGAGAAAAACGTCATCAATTCGTTTCCAATATTCTGCTTGCCAAAGAAATTCACCCGACAGCTATTTGTTGGTACGATGAAGGAAGTTGTCTGTATAGTACAACAAATTTCGAAGACAAACTGCCAGTTGTCTATGAGAAAGAAGATCAAGGATACCGCCGTCGTTTAACAATCAAAAGTCTCACAGCTACAAGTGGTACAAACGATTTAGATCAGTCTTCGATTCGAGTTATTGAAACTTTGATCAAACAAGTGTTGAAACAGCAATTCAAAGTTATTGGTTCAGTCTTCTATCGATGGGATGAAGAGCCACGTCCAGATGGACCCTATGATCTTCTTAACGGCTTCAAACAAGCTTTATGTCTCACAGAATCAGGTCCAACACTGAATGTAGATACTACGATTACACGATTCTATCCTCATTCCGATCTTTTACCATTTATTTGGGAAAGATTATTGGATCAACGAAATATGTCTACATTTAATGGAGAACTGTCCGATGGACAATATAATCAAGTCTGCAATTTTCTAAGAGATGTTGAAGTCACAACAACTCAATCAGATTAAGAAACAAACTATGTTCTCACTGGGTGTTTTTCGAATGAACTTCCTAAAAAGATTTTCCTTGAAAGATCAGGTCAGTTTTTAGATCAATACTATAAAGATCTCGGGTTTGAACTTCGTTATCCAAAGTTATACTGCTTGAAAGCCTATAAACGAAACAGACCACAAAATATAGTCGATCTGCCAATTGAACTTTGCATTTTTCGAGAGTGGCAACAAGCCAAGGAAGATGACAGTACGAAACCTGTTTCAGCACCATCAGTCAGTGACCGATTTCATTCCATTATGGCAGCTACCGCAAGCTGCAATTTTCATGACGATGAATTGTGTAAAGAAATTCAACTGGAAATCAACTGTGACGAAATGATGGCAATTCCTTATGAAACTTTAGAAAAACGTCAAATTACTCTTAATCGACAACGTCGTTTTACAAATCCAGTTCCAGTTGATAAAATGGCCTTTATCTATTTGGTTGATCCTCGACAACCAAATATGAGAGACGTGCAAGAAAAATTGCTGTACAGTTTCTATGATGTAAGTTTTATCTACTCATAGCTATACCTCCTAAGAACTATTTTCTCTTTCTTTTTTTAACAGGCAGCAAATCAACAAAGAATGGCATTACCTGAAAATCCTGACGAATATGAAATTGTCGCTGATAGAGATCTAGAACGCAAACTTCGAAATCATTTCTCTAAGCTTAAAAACTGGGGTTGTCAATTTATTCTCTGTCTGGAAAACTGTCGAAATAAAGAGATACACAGTGTTTTCAAACAAATTGCATATCTAGAATTTGGTACGTAAATTTTTAATCACTATTTATGTAGTTGTGATAGATCTTTTCTATCTCTTTTTTGTTCAGGTCTTGTTACTCAATGTGCTAATTTCACAAAAGTTAAACAAATAAGAAATTTAAAAAGTTATTGTAGTAATCTCTTACAAACAGTGAATGCTAAATTAAGTGGGGAAAACAAACAAGTAGCTGAGCTGAAAACAAATACTAAAACAATGTTTATTGGAGCTGATGTTCAACACACGAAGAATAATTATTCTGGTGAATTACCATCAATTGCAGCAGTAGTTGCAAGTATGAATTCTGAGTGTACATTAACAAATCAACGTATTTCTCGTCAATGGCCAAGTAAAGGAAAACAATCAGAAGAAGCTATTTTATTGTTGAAAGAAATCGTCAAACAACTGTTGACCGCATTCATGGACAACAATAACGGTACACTACCAGAACATATTGTTTTCTATCGCGATGGAGTTGATGATGGACAATTCGAACGTGTACTGAATGAAGAAGTGACTGCCTTGAAGGAAGCTTTTCAAGGTAAGGAGCAAATTTTTGTGTAACTATATAAATCATTGTTTTTAAGTTTAGTTGATTAGAGTATAATGAAAAAATTCTTTTTCTTTCTTTCTAGCCATATATCCAACAAATACGTTTCCTCCTCTTCTAACATTTATTGTTGTTAAAAAACGTCACCATACGCGCTTCTTTGGACTGTCGCGGTCTTCAACGGGTATTCTTAATGTTGAAAATGTTGAATCGGGCGTTGTTGTTGATAGTTCCATCATTTGTCCATATCCGAATTATTCCAATTTTTTACTAAATTCCCATGAACCAGGTTTAGGAACGAATAAGATTGGAAATTATGTTGTATTGGTCAATGAAATTCAATATTCATTAAGTGAATTAGAAGAACTTACATATTCTCTCTGCTTTACTGACCAACGTATTGGTAATCGATTGAGTGAATCAATTCCAAGTGTTTTACATTTGGCAGATGCAGCAGCAAGCAAAGCGAGACAGTTATTTAACAATAATACAAGGTACGGAAACGAAGACTACTTTCTTTTTAGATTGAAAAATAAAATAAAATTGTTTTTCTTTTCAGACCATCAAATACAATTCGAGCAGAAATACTGAAAGTTCATGAAGATATACAGAATACACCAAATATGTTTTAAAGGTGTATTAAATTTTTATTTGTTGTAATTTACTTTAGAAAGTTCTTATATTTAAATAAATAATCAAGAGTTTGAAGAGTGTCTCATTTTAAACTGTCAAAGTATTATTTATCTTGATAACTCGATAGGCTATTGTTTCGTCTTAATTGTGATGCTCGGAATTGAGGGTGTGGGTGTTCGTATTCTTCTCATTGATTATCGATACCCAGACCCACATCCACCATCAAGAAGAATTTATACAAAAATACAGTAAAACAACGTTACTCTTCCATAGATAATCTTTTTAATGATACATTTTTATAACATAAATATTTATGTCGTACTAAATATTATTCATTATTAGATCGAAAATATATACAATGAATAATGACTGTCTAGAATATAGTTATTGTGAGCATAATAGTCAAATTTTTCTTAATAAAGAAACATGTTCAACAAAATTTGCTTGTATATGTTTTGATTATTATTATGGTACAAAATGTCAACTATCTACACAAAAAGATTTATTTTTTCACTTGATTCTATATTTAGTTGTAAAATTAAATCAGAGATTCAATCAATCAAGAACTATCTATTATTAAAATAAATATTGGTATAAGTACAATTCTATTCGTTTTATAATAAATTAATCAATAATTATCAATTAGAACATTTTGTCAAATGAAACCAAGGCAAGTTGATACTGATTATTATCTTTCATATTTATCAGTCATTTCAACAATACTTAAATCGACATCTTTTGATTGCATCATGTAATTTAATAAAATTATCTTTACCCAGATTGATTATTTCATTGGTTAGTAGATGCATGAGATGTATTGGTATCAAAAAAATAATAAAATGAATTTAATACAATCGTTGAACAGATAATTCGATAATATTGTTTATTTATTTTCTATAACATAAGAAAAAACAGATAGTGAATGTATGTTGTATGTATTACATGCTTTCTGCTACCAAGTCATTGATGAATATATTTTATTTTAACTTTATCGATTGTAAACTTAGATTTATTGAATAAGAAAAAAAAATGTTCCCGTAACCATATAAAGAAAAAAAAAGATGCTGAAATAAATATAATTGAAGAATAAAATTGAGTTAATGTTTATATAGTTGCTTTTTGTGTCTTCTCATCAATTTTTCACATTTACTATTGGCGCTTCTAGCAAAACATCTTTGGTTGCACTTCCCTTACAAGATACGATGTATTCAACTTCAAGAAGAGGTCGTTTTGAATCATCTTTTGTATTGCTTGAGAAAAAGTTCATTGAACGATAATAGTCTTCGACTTCGAATTGAAGTAGAAAACCATTATTAGTACCAGGAGCAAGCATGTTATCTACAAGAGATTTTACATCAACGGCAATGTTGTAATAAAATTGCATATTTGACTCTGGTATAACAGCAGGAGGACCTTGGCTCGATGGTTGAGTATTCCAAGTGACTGTTGCCATATCATATGCCTGAGTAACGCGTGTAATATTTACCCTGTTTGGACCATAATGAGCAGGTGCATATGCATTAAGATAAGAGTTAGCAAAGTAAGAAAATGCATAACCATTCACTTGTTGACTACCTACTCCAAAGAGTTTCAATGTTGCAGATCTAATGATGGCGTCCTGTGGAATGACATCTGTCATTTGATCAAATCTTAATAAAACACGACTCAATCCAAATGGACATGCTTGTTCCTTTGGTGCTGTGTTCCATGTCCAAGCTATAAGATCCATTATTTCTGTTTGTTGAGGAGGATTGTTGCTTGGATCAGCAGGACAATAACTTGGTCGAGTCCAAATCGATCCACTAGAACCAGGACAAGCTCGAAAGGCTGCTTGAATAACTGCATCACCATTAAGACTTCCAATTGAAAGTATTGAGACGATTACTACTAAGAGTAACATGTTTACTTTTACTTGATAGAGTATGTAATATTGCTTTTGAATTATTTTTCATTGATTACTTTATGTATTTATACTAGTATGCAATCGTAGTTCCTATAGGAAGTATATGTCTTTTATTTTGAAACTGCTCATCCATTACAATATTCTTATCATGTATAATGCATTGCATAAACCTTATGCTATTAGTGAGTAAACACGCGTTCTCTTTCATTACAATTTAGATTTCTATTTATAGAGCTCGGAAGTCATTAAAATTTTTTATATACATATAGAAAATATGTATTTAAAAATGCGTCGTTTTATTTGATGAGATGGCTGATAGATAAGAGAAAATAGAAAAATCGAATATGAAATTACCTGGTATAGCTATACATATGATAACATATGGAGGGTTAGACAAAAGTTCGATCGGTGACATAAATGCTTATTTCAAG